CTAGACCGTCCGTTCCAGACGGGGCAGACCGTCCGTTCTGGACACCTGTCTCCCCGTTTTGGTTCGTTCTTTCGGACCGAACGAAATTCGATGCAACCGACCCCTATACGTGACCTACCTAGACCCGTTTCCTACCCGAACCTCATGAAACTTGAATGAAACCGACTTACGGTAAGTAAAGCCTTCGGAACGAGCTGAATTGGCAATCCGGAATGGTCGGAACCCAATTTGATCGGATCGGAGGATAAAAAGAATAAAATGAATGTAAAGGAAACGAGATAACTAAAATAACAAGTAAGGACGTGTGTATACCCGAGTAGGTATAATAATATATGAATGTGTGTGATTGGGGAACCGGGTAGTTGGCATGGCGTGAGACTTTATTCCCGAGGGCCGGGATAAGGTTGAGCGTGTGATTGTAGCGGGTTTGAGGTGATATCCCGATGGTTGCATTGTTGGGATCTCCTCTTTATGATCTCTGACCCGGGTCGGGTTTCATATTGAGGAGACATGATTGTGATTGGTTGCCCACGGGCAGAGCTTGGAGCCGATGATACACGTGATAGTCTTGAGTGATTCGGCTATCACGGGGTTGAGGAAATCCTACGGTTACACTGTAACCGCGCCCACGTTCCACTAGCTATGGAACGGGATCGGGATTGAGTGATTCTCCCGGCAGAGACTGGCAATACATTTACCCGTGACTCGGGATTGAGCGATTCTCCCGACGAGGTTATGCGAAGGAACTCAGAAAGACCTGAGCTCGGGTCCAATGAGTTTCTCCGTGGCGGACGGCCGGCGAGAGGTTGTCAGTTGTGTACTGACTTCGCTCGACATAGTCGGTGGTGGCCTGGAGGAGGCACCTGGCGCTCTGGCATCGAGAGGTGACATCGATGTCAGAGGGGATGGTTGATGTATTATGTTTTATGGAGTAGGGATTTGGATGGCGTGTTTTATTGTTCCGGCGATTGCCGAGGAGAGCGGGGGATGTGCGTTGCACATGGAGCGTCCTTACCCACGTGTGTGATGCACACGTGGAGATGATTTGACGGAACGGTTATTACTGAGAGACCCGATGGATCGAGCTATGACTTGTGTACATATGTCCTGGACTGGTGAGACCAGATCCGGTGTGGTGTCCTATGTGTGCGATGCACATAGAGATGATTTGACGGTTATGTCCGATGATACATCATGCGGACTGAGTGTGTGTGATAAGTGAATTACTTGTGCGATTGAGTGAATTGTGTTTCCTGGCATGAAGTGTGTATATATGTATACACTTATATCTAGTGTATGTATAATATTGATTGTGTATGACCATTTGCCATTTGAGTATGATCTTCGGGTTTAACCCGAAGTACTCGCTAAGCATGTAGCTTAGGACGTTGTTATGCAACGTTTCAACTCGAGATAGCGCAAAGAGAAGTGTTGGATGGACACAGCGGCGCCAAGAGTGTGAGGAGGAAGACCGAGAAGATTTAGGTTAGAGTTACGCAGATTCCTGTTCCAAAAAGATTGGTAGTATCGATTTATGAGTTTTGTATTTTCCGATAGTTACACTACCGTATTTGCATTTGTCTCCGCTGCATATGTATATAAATTGAGAATTTTTAAATCCTGCGTATTTTTGATAATTGTATTTATTTTATTGTTGTCCATGTGGCGCAACTCGTGGTTTTCGCGGGACACGGGTTTCGGGTGTCACACCTGAACTTTTCAAAACTCCCACATAAATACCTAGATTTTTAAATTTTTTTCCAAATCAAACAAATGCAACTGCTGACTCACAAAAATATTATTAAATGTCCAAATATTCATCTACATGTATTTAAATTAATATATATGCATATAAATTCACATATATATACAAATATATATATATATATATATTAAAAATAAAACTATTTATAATTAATAAAACACATATATATGTACAACATATATATATATATATATATATATGTATTCATACATATATACATTCATATGTGTATATATATATACATATTATAAATAAAATTAATTATAATCAATAAAACATTTACATACCTACAACATATATATATATATATATATATATTATAAATTATATTATAAATAATGCATACATATACATATTTTTTTAATATATATATATATATTAGTTATAATTATTTTTAGGGAAAATCGACAAAAAAAACTTATACTCTTCAGGTGTCGACAAAAAAACTCTATACTTTTTTATTACCAAAAAAATCTTATACTTATAATTATTCGCCGAAATATACATATACTCTTCAGATGTTACACAAAAAAATGATGTATTTTTTTAATTACTAAACAAACCGTATACTTATACTTGTTCGTCGAAATATACATATACTTTATAAATCTAGCAAATAAACCCCTAAACGCAAACGCCAAAAAAATGTGGTAAAAAATCTAACCGAACCTAATCCAACCGATATATACTCGAACCGATTAAAATAATATACTACATTGGATATGAGTATTTTAAATCCGAAATAACTAAACCCGAAATAAACGAACCGAATCGAACTGATTAAAATAATATACTATATTAGATATAAATATTTCAAATTCGAGTGAAACCAGTATCATTATATTAATTTTTTGAATTAAATTTAGAATATATTGGATATTAATTGATGATATTGGTAGATAAACGGTTATATTCGGTTACGGTTAATTCAAGTTCGATTTATTCGTTTTACAGTTATTTTGGGTTCGGTTATTTCGGATTTGAAATATTCATATCCAATGTGGTATGTTATTTTAATCAGTTCGATTTGGTTTGGGTATATATCGGTTGGTTTAGGTTCGAATAGATTTTTTACCGCTTTTTTTTTGCGTTTACGTTTAGGGATTTATTTGTTAGAATTTATAAAGTACATATATATTTCGGTGAATAAGTATACGTATAGGGTTTGTTTGGTAATAAAAAAAAGTACAGGATTTTTTTGTTTGACATCTGAAGAGTACAAGTATATTTTGACGAATAAGTATAAGTATAGTATTTTTTTATAATAAAAAATATAGAATTTTTTTGTCAACATCTGAAGAGTACAAGGTTTTTTGGAAGATTTTCTCTTATTTTTATTTTATTATGTATATTAGTTGTGTATATATATATGTTGTATGTATAACTAATATATATACATATACATATTATTTTTAATATATATATGTATATATGTTAATTCAATTACAAAACGGGCGAAGATTGGTCAGACCGTCCGGTCTGGGAAGCAGACCGTCCGGTCTGGGAGACGCAGACCGTCCGGTCTGCCTAGCCGGACCGAAAAGTCGAATTCCAACGGATTTTCGGCCATTTCCAACGGATTTGCCGGTTGGAATTTGGTTTTTTTTTGTAGTGTATAGATGATGCGTAACTTGATATTTATTAAGATTAGTTGAAGAGCCATATATATCGTGACATGCGAGCAGCTAATTAAATGAATCATGGGATCGAGCTCATATTAATGAGGACTAGTAGTAGGTCAAATCCCATGCATGCGTAGTCCACGTGGCTAATTCGCGGTCCATGTACGATATATATATGTATATAAAAGGCGGATAAACGAATTAGAGATTCGAGCCTAATAATTGAAAATAGGGCGAGATCTTTTTTTAGACGAACGATTGTCCAACGAAAATGGTCAAATAGCCCAATGAGATAAAAAAATATATATATATAACAGCCCGTTAACTATAGAAGCCCATTTCCACAAAATATAAAGGCCCATTTCCACAAAATATAAAAGGCCCATTTATTTCTAAATCCAAAGTCCAAAAAGCCCATCACATTCAGGAGCAATTTAAAAGAACAAGGAGAAAACTATGATCAATTTTTGTATTCCATTTTACAGCTTTTCCACGGCATGGGGAATTCGTTCATGTCCCTCTCGACCGTGGGATCCAAAGTAAAATAACAGTTGGTACCATATAACCAGACAACAACTGCAACTGTCCAATCACAACCCTGATCTCATTCACGGCGTCTGGCTTTGGACAGCGTCTTGATCAACCCTTTTGTGATCTTCCAAAACCATAGCAGATTCATCACTCCCAGCGCCGGTGGTATCGTCAGCAAGCTGTAAAACCCGAGCGGGAATACTTGCTTCACCTGAACCAACAAGCTCGAGAAACTCAGATTCTTCCAACCTACTATGATCTTTCATTTCTTACCGCTGGCTCTGCCGAAACATTGTATACGACATACCTGATCGAAGTGGAGGAACATATGAACAAAAAAGTAGATGAACAGAAGGACCCTTGCCACCTGAAATGGGCAGAAAGCTTAACCGTTCAAAAATGGCACACGAAGAAGAGATTCTGAGCGGAAACCGAAAGTAAAGTAACGGAATTTCGAATGTAGTTAACAGTACCAGCCAACCCAAGAACAGGGCAATCCCGTTGCACGTGTAAAGCTTGGAGCTTTTCTGACCACTAGTATCCAGGTACCTGCATATGCAGCATTCAACAGTGTAAGAGCAAAAGCTGACCAGACCAGGTTGTAAATATTGGATATAAGTATAGGGGGCATTCCCGATTCAGAAACCGACCAGCGTAGATTGACAAATGGAGTTGTGGCTTCGGAGAGGAGAACCATGAATATGTAGAACTGGCTTTGCCCGCTAGTGACAGCCAGTATGATAGCAAACATGGATATGCAATGGTGAAACACCTTGTGTTAACAATCATGTCAAAGGCATGTTAGAAATTAAGAAGCCATCTCATCTTTAAGGAAAGCGAAATGTAACACGAGATTGTGCTTTGATGCTTACATACTCCACACCACCGAGAACGGGAAAATGCCATAGGATCATTGACAGGTCTGCCAGAAAATAACCAATGGAGATCTGCAAAAAGCAGATGCGGAGATAACGTGTGTCGGGAATATATACTCTTTTTATTCGGTTTATGAAGATCCAAATAGGGAAGTCGAGTTCGATTAGAAAGTATTAAGTTTGATTAAAACGATGGAGAAAAAGGACAAGAGATCTCATCTCATCTGCGGAAGTAAGTAGCATTTGTTAGAACCCTATTCTCGAAAGCATGCTATATGATCACCAGCAAACTCACCCCCAATATTACTTCTGACGTTGTTGAAGTTCGGTCGATCATTAAACCACCGAGAACATTATCATCAAACATTCCCGAAAACACCAGCAGGTAGATTGCAGCCAACGAAACGAAAACTGCGTGAAATGTCGAGAAGCCCCTGCAAAAGTAAGTAGAAAAAACAAGACACAAAACTCAGCACGGGTCAAGAAAAGAGATCAACTTTCGAGTTAAATGCACAGAAAGAATTAGCATTGATAAAGAACTTTACCTGTTATTCCATTCCATTTGCTGTTTGCTGTCGAGTTTTCCATACGGTTTGAACAGCAAACGGCTCACCAAACCGGTTAAGTCATAAACCTTCAAAACAAAGCATTCAAAAGAGGCTTAGTGACAAAACTCAGGATCCGGACAAGGTCTTGCAAAACTGCCTTGCTCTCGTTTAAGGGTCAAGCGCTAATATGAAATCCAGAACAGTACAAACAGAGAAGAAGATGGAACTAAGGGCAAAAGGATAGATTTAGCATTTCGCTTACAATCTTGCACATTATGATCCCCGAACAGACAGACGCGAGCAACGTGAATCGTTTGGAAGAGGCAACAACGTCATCAATGGCAAATGCCAACCCAAGAGGGAAACTCAAAGCCATGGAGACACCCTTGCTTTGACTCTGTTGATGAAATGGAAAGAGCTTCAGGAAAACAAGCAGATACAGACAAGAGAGATGAAACCCATATCAAGACATACGGCCTCAGGTAATCAGTACGAGAAATCGAATCTAAAAGATGATGGAGAAGAGAAACCTGATGAGCGATGGGACAAAACCTAGAATCCGGCGTTCAAGGAAGAAACCTGGGGAACCTTCCAAGAACAAAATTGAGAAGATAAGGTAAGAATAATCCAGAACAAGAGGGGGAACAAAGCGCCACTAAGGAAGAAAAAGGAAAGGGCTGCAAGTTCGACAATACAGGAAAAGCAAGAGCCCCGATCTCGGATTTTCAATTGCCAAATCCTGAAGCTTTCCAAAGGGGCTTGACCCTCTCTCTCTCCCTCCTTCCCAGACTCGAGCAATTAGTCATCCGCCATTGGCTTCGATATGTCTTTTCTTCTTCCGGTTTCCTTCTTTGAAAAGGTGTTACCTTTCAATTTAACTTCAAAAGGGCATACCTTTCTCCAACTTTCATAAATTCTCGTGATGCATAATTGAATGGATCATTTCTTTCTCTACTTCCCTTTTTTTTTTACAAGTTATACAAATCTGAAAGGAAAAAACCCCCAAAAGAAGAAGTGAAATAGTGAATGCTGATTGGTCCCTCGGAGAGTTTGCCCATTGGAAAGTCATGGTTTCTTCCTATTGGTTGGCTGAATGCAAAACTCTATTCACGTGCCATACCATATGCTTCCACGAACTTGTGAACCTACCCATCCATTTTAGCCCTCCCTACTATCTTAATCATAATTTGAAGTGATATACCTAACGTTAATTCTAAATTAGCACATATAAATCCTAATTGGGTGTGGACAATGACAACAATGTTTGGTAAGAATTTGGAATACTGGTATTCTTTTGAGTACAAAACATTAGGCTCCATTTGATACCATTAACGGTTGTCCCCCTCCAAAGTAGATGGAGGCTTAACAATAAATGCCACAGAAAAAGACTTCATGAGAAATAGCAACCATTCCATAGTCTACTATGTATGTATGCATGTGCCTGTTCTTGAGTTCTGCTTTACACATTGCATAAATTAGATAAGCAAATCAGCCGATCTTAAGGCGAGTTATGGTATTATTTAATTTTACAGAACAGTAGAGCTTCAAAAGCAAGAAACTTTGTGAAACGCATCTTCAAAGGTTGGAACTCCTATCTTCCTTCTTCCATCGAGTCATCCACTCTTGTCTCGTACGGATAGGAAGATATTACCCTTAATATTGTTATGATTTTTTGTAAGAAAAATCCAAAAAAAAAAACTAAATTTTGACAATACTGAAAATTTTATTTTATTAAATAAAGATTAAACTTTTAAAGTTTAACAAAATAAAACTTAACTCTTCTAGATTATCAAAATAAACAAAATGATTGATGCAATAAGATGTAAACAATAAGATGTAAACACGTTAGATTATTTTATTTATTTTTTTTTACTTTTTTTTACAATCGAAAAATTTTTATATATTTTTTAAATCACTAAAAAAGTTCAGTATTTTTTTTTATAATCATAGAAAAATTCGTGTATTTTTTAGATTACTTAAAAGTATTCGTTTAAAAATTTTAATGTTTATCTGATAAAAAAAATAAAATTCGATTTTTTTGTCAAAATTGAAAAAGTTGAATATTTTTTTGATAATTTTTCTAAGTTATTGATAAAATATAATAGAATATTCTAGTATACAATTTCTAGGTTAAATCATTACAATATCAATGATAATATCTTTGAGGATGGGAAATTTGGGGAAAATCCCGTTGGTTACCCCAAATTGTTAATTAACAGAGGTTTGGCTGAGAAATTTTTAGAGATTTACCATTATGTTTATTATATTATTTATAAACAAAATATACAAATCGCATAATATCTAGTTAATATTCTCAAAGTAAGGGTTGTTTCTATTTTGTATTTCTGATACTAATTACCCACATGAGTTACAAGATCAAGACTATCTATGGAGAAGATTTTGCCTAATCAAGCGAATGAATTTCATTTGCATCTCCTCTCCTCTCACAATCTCGACACGAGACCAGCGTTCGTAGTGTTAGGTGGCCTTTGATCTTCTCCCCAAGAGCGACGATCGCGTAAATATCAAAAGGGCTTTCTCTGTTTGATTGTCTCTCCTTCTTCCACGTTCAAGAAGGCGAAATTTCTGGAATTTTCTCCGACAAGAAAAAAAACTGCCTTTGTCGGAATCTCAGGGACCAGACCCAGTTTCGATGGCTCTCTCTCTCTCTTCCTCTCTCTTCCCCAAACCCTTCATCTTCTTCCGCACCATCCAAAGGTCGAATCTTCGTTCCAAAACCTATGCCTTGAGGCTGTTGTGCTGTTCAGGGTCGTCCCAAAATCGTCAGTTTTCTTCGGATTCCGAGAAGAAATCTTTCGCTGTGGCCACGGGCGAGCTTTTCCTGGGAATCGCCTCGAAGCTTATAAGAACAGCCGAGAAGCCATCTCCTGCGCCGCCGATTGACGAGACGAATGGCAATGGCGAGAGAATTGCGACCGTCATAGAGGATGAGATCGAACCCGAGGTGATATGGGAGCAAAGGGTTAAGGATGTAGAGGCTGAGAAGGAGAGGAAGATCATTACCAGCCCCGGATTTAGCTTCTCTGCTGCAGGACTTTTGTTCCCTTATCATCTTGGTGTTGCCCAGTTTCTCGTCGAAAGGGGTTACATCAAGGTACTCTCTTTCTTTGTTTTCAATCAGCTTCCATGATCATTGCATTGTTGCTTTTGCTGCGAATTGTGGGTCTGTATCCATGGAAGCTCTGTCTTGATGATTAAAAAACGTGTGTGTATTGATGAAGGAGACGACTCCATTGGCGGGTTCCTCAGCTGGTTCCATAATCTGTGCGGTGATAGCCTGTGGATTAAGTATGCAAAAGGCATTAGAAGCCACTAAGACCCTTGCTGATGATTGTCGCCGAAAGGGTACTGCATTTCGTCTTGGGGTAAAGCCAATTCTTCTGTTATTTAGTTGCCATGCTCTCTATGAAATTAAAGAACATCAATCAATTCATTTTCTTTGCCTTCCCCGGTGAAGTTAGAGGCTTAGGTGATCCAATGTTTAGTCATTTTCTTTTGGTGATGTTCCTTTCCGACAATGTGGGTGTGTTTGGACAATATGGCTAGAGTTATAGAATTCAACGGATACCGATTTTGATGCCATTACTTCCTTTCTGAATGACATTTCGAAATGATTCATCCAAGTCCCACGGGTTTCAGGCCCTTCTCAGAGATAGTCTTGAAGAGTTACTGCCTGATGATGCTCATACTAGTTGCAATGGGAGAATTCGTGGTGAGAATGATATCTTCTTTCTTCTTGAACGATCCCTCTGTCACCATTTCTTCACGCTGAATTGTGTTTGGATTCGAGTTTTCTGATCTTGCTTATCATATACTACCAGTTGCCATCACCCTGATTTCGTGGAGACCAAGAGGTCTACTGGTGGATCAATTTGACTCCAAGAGAGACTTGATAAATGCAATTGTTACATCTTCCTTTATACCAGGGTACATATTATATACTTTACTTTGAAATGTTTGATAGATCTTGTTAGAGGAAACTTAAACTAACAAGGAAGTGGATATGCAGCTATCTTTCACCGAGGCCTGCAACTGTGTTTCGTAATCGGCTTTGTATAGATGGAGGATTGACATTTTTTATGCCTCCAACATCTGCTTCCAAAACGGTAAGTGCATCGAGATTCTTAACATTTCCTCCATCACTCCTTAAGCAGAAAGCATATATCTGGAAAGCATGCACTTGTATTCTCGCTAGACAATCTCGAATTTTGGCACGAGTACCTTCTGTGTATGTTCCTTTTGGTTGTTCATTTCATGTCTTCCGACCCGACCCCTTTCTTGTTATAATTCTGTGTCACGGTTTCCAGGTACGAGTTTGTGCATTCCCCACAAGTACTTTTGGAGTGAGAGGAATTGGGATAAGTCCGGACTGCAACCCTGAAAACAGGGCAACCCCTAGACAAGTAAGTGAGTTCTGTTGTGTGGATTGGTTTCTTTCCCGCTAACCAAGTAGGTTAAGCCTTTGGCATTATACATGCAGCTTTTCAACTGGGCACTCGAGCCAGCAGAAGATGAGGTGTTGGATAGGCTGTTTGAGCTCGGATATGCGGACGCAGCTACGTGGGCAGAACAGAATCCAGCCGGTGAAATGGTTCACGACGACAATTCTTCGCCCGAAAACGTTTCTGCTAATCTGGAAACAAGAACTTGACACTTCTTTAACCAAAGTAATTTGTTCCCCAAGGTATGATCATAGAATCACTCTAGAGCTTATACTGTACATTGTAGAATCCTACAGTTATACAGAACTCGGATTTCATTTCAGAAACTTTTCTCGTTTTACAATCTGTAAACAAGCTCTGATAGTTAAAAGTTTCTGGCTTTTTGGATTTTTCGTGAACCCTTTATGAAAATTCAGTGCTATACACAAACTTTTTTTAACTTTTATTAATCACAAACACAAATACACAGTAGCAGACAGCAAAGGACAAAACCACACAAAGGACAAAACCACAAACCGGCATTAACAGAGTCGTTGCATCAGATGTCACGATGCAGAGCGCATGGACTTTTGGTCACATCGCTTCTTATTCAATCACACACGCACGCAAAAGCTTCCAAAAGCTTTCATATCATATCATTACATTATATTTTACAGTAAAAAAGCAAAGACTTGCGAAGAAGTCTTCGCTGGATGGTCTGATCAACGACGGAAGCTCCTGACCTGGCGAGGCGGGTCGGTCTCAGTGTCCTCGAGCTTGACACTGGTGTAGACCGCTGCACCAGCCACCGCACCGAGCGTTGGAGCCAGCAGATAAATCCAAAGCGCCCTGTAGTTCCCGGCTGCAACCGCTGGTCCCAGCGTTCTCACCGGGTTCATCGAACCACCGCTCGAGGGTCTGTCGAGTTTTTAAAAAAGCAATATAATGCCTGAATTTGACTGATAAAGATGTTCATAGAGTCTTCCAGAGCAGACCAAGAAGGAAGCATACTACCCACAAAAACAGAGCAAAATAAGCCAATCTCTTACCCAGCGACAAGAATGTTGAGCATGACCGTGGCTCCTACAGCAATGCCAGCAAGTTCTCCGACCTGCTCAAACCGAATCCACTTCTCGTTAAAACCCAGAATTCATCTCAATCCGAACACAAAAACCCAGATTTTCCCTGTGAATCCAACGGAGAGAGGGTAAAGACAGAGATACGTACGGCACGAGTGTCGGTGGCAACAGCAGTGACGACGAAGAGGAGATTGAAAGTGATGAGGAACTCAAGGGCAAAGGCTTGTCCGATACTGACGGAAGGGACAGTAACTCCTCCGGACATAAAAGGGTGGAACACGCCCTTTAGGGCAAAGGAGGCGCAGATGGAGGCAGAGACCTGAGCCGCTACGTAGGCTGGGACGTGGGCCCAGGGGAAATGGCGAAGGGCTGCGAAGGCGATGGTGAGTGATGGGTTGAGGTGAGCCCCCGAGATATGGCCAGTCGACAGAATTATGATCATCACTGCAAGTCCTGCACAAGCCGCATTCCCTATCAGAGTTTCTGCACCATTGTACTTCTGGTTCACGATCGGACCGGCTGTTGCCGCGAATATCAGTATGAATGTCCCCACGAATTCTGCGCCGATCTGTTGATGGGAAACTCATTTGGGTCAGTTTTCAGTATACACATAGGATTCAAGCAGAAACCGGGAAAAAATGGTGAAGAAATTCAGGAAGCGAAAGAACGGTTTCTTGTCTGGGAAGCAAGTGAATTTCTATGAATTATAGAGAGTAATATTATCATAATATTTACCATTTTCTAATCTGTGTAATGTTTTCTACTTAAGACAGACACCTTTAAGTGGTGGAAATGTTACCTCGTAACCAAAATTACCGTTGAATAAGGCAAGATAGGCAAATCAAATTCCAGATTTCCTATTTGTATCTTTCATCTATAAATCATTAGAATAACCATTAGGGTTTATTCAATATTTCGTCGCTACATTCTTTTATCTTGCACTTGTATCTCGTGAAGCTGAGCTAATAACAGAAAGAGTAGATAACATGCTTTATAATGAAATCATAAACTCCGTCAACGCTATGAGTTGTTCATGTTTTTTTTCATCGTTAGTACGCGTTGAAATCGCCAATAGCAACGATATATATATATATATATATAATATGTATGTATGTATTAGTGATTATATAATTATTACAGGTGACGACAACCAGACAGAAGGAACCGTTGATTGCGTTAAATCAATGGGTCGGCTGCTTCCGTGATTCATATATAGAGAGATGTTTACAACGATGAGACCCTTATCATGTTTTCGTCATTTCATCTCAAAATTTATATAATTTTTATGTAACATAAAAATCAATGTAAAAAAAAAGTACCTTTTTTATTGCGTGGTCGTAAAAGGAAATAACTTTAGCTATTCACTTTTAGGTTACCAAGGCACAAAAATATATATATTTGGTCGGTGTACATTTAAGTTATGTTCAAGTGGGCCTGCGATTTATATTATAAAATAATTTCCCTCTTTCAGTCACTTCAATTATTTAGATATTTCGTTTCTCTGACTCGTCGTTTTATTATTTATATATCTCTCCCATGTACATATGACGTACAAGCCCGCTGTTCAGCGTCACCAAATTCGGACTACACATGTATATATATATATACACATATACTATAATCCATTATAATTTATAACCAATAGCATACGTACGGACTATCTATAGAAATGAAAATATTTTTGGATCTAAATGAAAACAACCTCGTAGCCCATATATGCAATGATAACAATGTGAATTAGTTTGTTCAAACATCAATCTATTCGTTATAGATACTCATAATTAGTAGGTTTAATCAACGATCGAATCATATAATATAAAAATATAAATACCTTGCGGGTGAGGGAGACGTTAGGAGCGGGGAAATCGGAGAAGCAGGAAATTTTTTTAATTGTCACAAAATATGGTTGAACCGAAAGAATAAACTACGATTAGATTTTCACAGAAAAGAGAAACTATAGAATAGGCGATTATAATTCCACAATCAATTCGTAGATCATTCTATAGCATACGCATACGGTTCGTGACGTAGTCGACCACTCCTTAAAGTTGAAATAAATACAAAATATCTAAATAACCAAGCTACAAACATCACCATAGAGTATAAACATGAATGTCTATGTATGTTTCTTTTCATTCTTCTGTTGAGATTTTTTTATTAATATAACTATAACTTAATCTAAATTATTATTATTATTATTATTATTATTATCCAAAATCCAAAGGCAAACACGGATATTTAGCTTCAAATTTATTACAAGACCGGCCACTGTTTTAGTGAGGATGTTGATGGTTTACGCCACCGTCGGGAGACCCTGTCACCGGTGGCTTTGGGAACGGCTTTTTCCGTACCTCGATCAACAAACCACCGCCGGTTGACAATCTCGCCGTTAACTTTTCCGTGAAGAGGTGCAGATCCAACGGCTGAGATCGAATCGAACGGCCACATATTTCTGAACTCAAACATCCGACACAGATGGTGAAGACAAGAACCAGGGTTCCGACCAAACACACCTTGTTCATGGTTGATCTAATTATATAATTATTACCCTCTTAATAAAAAAATATATTAATAAGATAAAATAAAATAGAGGAACTGAAAATATTGAGTGTTTTGCTTGTAACGATTTTAGTTTGGGATAATTATTTGGATAATGCATGCATATGCGTGTGTGTGTATATATATATATTGCCCGGTTACATGTTAATATGTTTATATATAGTAGACATAATAAAATACATCCATCGGGAATGTTTGTTATCAATTTCATTATTATCATCATCGTCATCATCATTATTTCGTTTAAATTTGCCCGGATCTATTCCAATTTTAACCTGATTTATTTCTATTTAACAATATCTCTTTCGTTAAATATATATCGTCTACCCTATTTTCACCGAACTTATTTTGGAATTTTAATTTCATTCTGTCATCAATGTTGGTGGATTTTTTCCCTTCTAAATTCCTGGTGAATTATCTTACACATCTCACATTCATTACAGTCATAGTGACAGAAAGACTTACTATTGGGATTCTAATTTTATTCTATCATCAATATTGGCCGGAAACGGGGTTTTTGGATATACAACAATAACATTCATTCCCTCACGGAAACATGGATAGTAGAACAAACGACAAGATTGAACGAATCTGGCAGCACATTTGTATAGCAAAAAAAAAAAAAACCATATGCACAATATCGTGATACACCAAAGAACACAATTCAGAACTCTTCCATGGTCTCTAATCCTCGGACGTTGGTGTGCGTCGTGGAAGACGATGCGTTCGGACAACTCTGATCTCTAAGATTCTCTTAAGAGAGTTCCTCTTTGTTGAACTTGTTCCAAGCTTCCTGCTCAATCAAATTTTATCGTCGAGCCGATTAAATCCCCGAGCAAACATTGATGAACACGAGGTGTGAACCTAGTTTCTAACAGCCAAGGAACGAAAACCAGAAACTCTTCCTGGAACTAACTCCATGGCTGCTGTTGAACTATTTCATAAAATCTTTTCCGTGTTGGGTATTCAGAAAAAGCTAAACAGGATGCTTGGGATGGAATCTCATCTGGTCAAATTGGGATGATAATTAAACTCCTAGAGGTTCATGAACATCACCGAATGAGAAAGTACCTTCAGAATGTCGAAGACCTTTTCGGCGATATACTTCTGTTTGAGGGTAGCTCCTTTCTGTTGAACTTTATCAGGATGGACGTAAAGTGTCGCCTTTCTATATACTTTCTTGACTGAAGTGGAAGTGATCAAATCCGTAAGAGAAACTGCTTCCCAACCACATTCAGGCCACAGTACCTGCCATCATACATATAGAATCGGTAACTCATTCAACTTAATAAGAAACACAGAGATAAAAAAATAGATAAAAATGTGTGTGAGAACGCACTATTTGCAACGAAGACAACAATGCACGCATATTCCCTTCTTTCCCAGCAGCCCAACGTTTTATCTCAGCATCTATGGTCTCAGCGATTCTCTGAAGTGAAAACGAAGATTACACATTAGAGTCGTCTCATAATAACCTTAACTATGTGAACAGAGAATAGCGAACAAAAGCGGGTATTTGAGCATATGAACAAAGAGACTATAAATGATAGCAAAACCCAGAGTTCATGGAAGGAGATAAAAGCATGTCAATCAAAATCAATTTCCACAAGCCACTTACACTCCTTTCTTCTTGTTCAAGCTGAGTTTGATGATCACGGTGATTCATATCAGCTACAGCCTGTGCCTATACATAAAATCACATTGAATAGTGTATAACCATCTGATGCTAAAACACACAACAAATTAAAAGCTGATATTCCATGACCAACAGCAATATTTATCAACTAGAAGTTGGTTATAATATGCGGATTTGTTGAGTAATAATCAAATATTGATATTCCAAGGAATTTCTTTACACTTTTGGCCACAGAGGTGTTGAGTTCCGAACAAAAGAAAAATTTACAGATAAGTCTCTCCCACAGGTCTGGATTTAATATTCATATATATAACAACTCAGAAGACATATCATATGTATGTTGCTCAGATAACAAACATAAGGTTGATCAAGGAGAATCAAAGAAAAACCAAAACATAAGCATACCACACGGTTCTTTGTTCTCCGTTCACGATCCCATCTAGCTTTTCGTCTTTCTTCGCTTTCCCCCGGAATATCCTCAAATTCTCCAAATAAAGGATCCGCTGGTGGGAGGAAAACATGTTGTAGAATTGTCGGCAATGGGCCAACATTGAATCGGAATGGTTAGGTTTCCACGATATTTACCTCCAAAAAGTGAAGAAAAATCATCCACCAAATTTGCTGGAGGAACAGGCTTCTTTACGCCAGATGGAACCCCACTAGATGTCTTCTTTGTAGCGTTAAATGCTGGCTTGCTAAAAGTCTTTGCATCAAAAAGAAGAATAAGGAAGACAGAAACAGAAAAATATTTCACAAAAGCTTCTATCACTGAAATTTAGAATTTAAAGGCAATTCTTACTTCAGTTGTTGCCCGAGATTTTGGTACACTGCTAGAACGAGACCCTGAGCTGAAAAAGGAATCAAGGTCATCTACCCTAGTTTGTTTTTTCTTTGTTCCAACATCTTCAGCTTCTTTATATTTACTAGCATTTTGGGAAGCCGAGGAAGTATGTTGCACTCTACCCATAGCAAACTCTTCAAGTTCATCTATCGAAGACGAGCTCTTAACTGTGCCAAAAAGAAAATACTTCAGCACCCAACAAGAAAGTAAAGCAAAGCAGGATGACTCCAGATTAACAGAAAGAGGACGACCTTCATATACTTTCTGTGCTGGTTTCGGTGGAGGCCTGAGCTTTGTTGAAGTTTGCGAAGAATTTGAAGGCTTTGTCCCCTTAGAACTGAAGGAATTCGCAAACTCTTCCAGTGGATCCACAAACACACCCGAAGAAGAATGCCCCGAAGCTGAACTCGATTCAAGAACAACAAAAGGGTCGTCTACAGAAGAAGTTGATTTAGCAGTCCTGATGGAAAAAAATCAGTAAAAAGCAAAACATATCAACCGCCAAGGGAAATCCCACGACAATATCTTCAAAGCCTATGCTTTTTCGAAAGGTTATCTCACAATCTCATACACCATTTCCCAATATGTTACAGAATATAATCAAGTTCAACAAAGATTTGCACCAATAATCGACAAAAAAGGCGAATCACACAATGTATAACAAATTAATAGCATACCCACTACTTGATTGAGCATTTCCACCGAAACCAGGGATCAATTCATCAAAATCGGCTGCATTCTTCCCCACGTCACTTGAACTGTTCTGGTTCCAGCTCTTTGATTTGGTACCAAATTGGCTAAAATCACCCAACAAATCATCGACAGAGCCATTTTGCTTCGCCGACGAAGAGAATGATCCAAATACATCATCACTATCAACGGTAGGGGAGCTCTTGGACCTCGTCATACCACCAAATATATCATCTACATCATAACTATCCATTGAAGAGGTGGTTTTCGTTCCCAAATTCCCCAGATTGGAAAACATCAAGCCATCACCACCGAAAGACGACTCACTATTACCCGATTTATTGGATGACAACTTGTTCAAACCACCAAAATACCCTAAGTCGTCAAACCCACCAGAATCCATGCCTTTCCTATCAATGGAACTCGATTTAAAGAAAATGTCGTCGCCGTCAAACAACGACCTATCACCAGATCCCGTGTTCCAAGATCTATCAGAAGCGTACGAGGTAGGTTTAGCATCTACACCCGCGCTTGAACCAAAATGCCAGCTCTGAGCATTGTTAGGATTCACCGATCGCTTCGACGAAGACATCGGTGCGGATTTTCCCTGAGGCTTTAGCCCATAACGCTCCGTAAGAACACCGAACTCGTCCATCTCAGCTGCCGATCGATCAAACAAACAAACGAATCCCTAAAGAATCCACCTACCGTGAAAAAAAAGCCCCCTATCAGATCGATCCGGGGAAAACCCAAGATCCAAAGTGAAATACCACGAGAAAGGGGATCGAAGTTCTTCTCCTGGTATTGGCGTTAATTGCGAGAGAGAGAGAGAGAGAGAGAGAGAAGAGACAAAGATCGTAATGGCAAAATTTTCCCGAGAATTTAGAGTGGGGAAAATTTCCGTCTCAATTCCTCAAAAATTTTCCGATATATTTATGTATTTATTTATTTAAAAGAGAGACTTCGACGGTGAGGACACGACGACTTCAAGGTTTTGGACCCACACACAGTCATGGTGTGTAGGCCACGACAGATGTCTTGCCTTTAAATCTCCTTTTTGGTCTTTTTTATTTATATAAATCGATCTTCGTTATTCTTTTTAAATTAATTTGTTACACGAAGAAGATGTTCGATGACTAACATAATTATAACCCTATATATATCATTTGTAGCTTTATTTTCAAATTTGTCAACTTGGAAATAATTCCCAATTATTCGATCCCATTCATGAAATCTGTCCAATGTTTGATTAGCTTTTCGTTTATTGGGTGGGCTTTATAAATGGGCCCAGGCCCATTTGTCACACATTTTACAAAACGCTGCGTTTTCGTCGTCCATCATTCTCCATCTCCGTCGTTCGTCGCTGGTAGTCCCATTCCTAAGAACGTACATCCGTAATCGATTCAGGTAATATCCATAGCTTTTTTCCTTTGTAATGCTCATTGTGGCGTACATGAACGTATATATACGTGTATATTTGGATGTAGTGATTATTGTTATGTGACACTGTGTAATGTTCAGAATATGTTCGATGATATGCCTCAATGAAGGATTTCTTCGAGACGATTGAATGTTGAACTTTTTTCTTTCTTTCTGGGTTTGCCTTTATTCTTATTTTTGTGAAAGAGAGACACTTGCAGATGCTGGCTATGGTGTACTTCTCGTTAAAGTTGTTAGCTTGGTGATTGACGTACTGGGTCATTTTCTACCAGTTTTCTAATTTTCATTTCAATGTTTTTGGTGTTTGGGTTTTAGCTCTGTTGTTGCATTCATTGATTGGTTCTGGATGATGATCAGAATTCTCAGCCATCAATCCAGATCATGTTGTAAAAATGTTCTGTCAGTGAAGCTGTATACTTCCGGTGAACCAAAGAGAGATGTTTCGGATATGGCAAAGAGCATATGTAAAGTGATGATGTCCTCTCCACCAGCTGTTCTTGACACGGCTTTGGATCAAATCGGTCTTAGGGTTTCGCCTGAAGTAGTCGAGACTGTTCTGCAGAGATTCAGGAATGCTGGTTTGTTGGCATACAGATTCTTCCAGTGGGCCGAGAAGCAACGGAGTTACGAGCATAGTGTTAGGTCCTACCACATGATGATCGAGTCTACTGCCAAGATTAGGCAGTATAAGATCATGTGGGACCTCGTGAACTCCATGAGAAAAAAAATGATGCTAAATGTCGAGACTTTTTGTATCATCATGAGGAAGTATGCCAGAGCACAGAAATTGGACGAGGCGATTTACGCGTTCAACGTAATGGAGAAGTATGATGTGCCTCCGAATCTTGTGGCATTCAATGGGTTACTGAGTGCTTTGTGTAAATCCAAGAACGTGAGGAAAGCTCAGGAGATATTCGACAAAATGAGGGATAGGTTTACTCCAGACTCCAAAACTTATAGCATATTGATTGAAGGATGGGGGAAAGCTCCGAATCTACCGAAGGCAAGAGAGGTTTTCCGAGAGATGATTGATACGGGTTGTGACCCAGATATAGTGACGTATAGTATAATGGTTGATGTTCTTTGCAAGGCTGGTAGAGTGGATGAAGCCCTTGGCATTGTAAGAGGAATGGATCGAAGCAAATGTGAGCCAAATTCCTTTATATATAGTGTTCTTGTCCATACTTATGGAACTGAGCACCGGCTTGAAGATGCTGTTGATACGTTTCTCGAAATGGAAAGAAGTGGAATCAAAGCTGATGTACCGATGTATAATGCCTTGATTGGTGCCTTTTGCAAAGCTAACAGGATGAAGAATGTTTACAGGGTTATGAACGAGATGGAAAGAAAAGGTGTGTCACCAAATTCCAAGACTTGTAACATCATTCTAAGCCATCTAATGGGTATCGGGGATACAGAAGAAGTAAAAGGCGTTTTCCAAAAGATGATCAAACTGTGTGAGCCTGATACAGACACTTACACGATGATGATAAAGATGTTCTGCGAGCAGAAGGAGATGGGGATGGCGAGTAAGGTGTGGAAGTACATGAGAACGAAAGGCGTTTTCCCGAGTATGCACACTTTCTCTGTTCTTATAAACGGCTTTTGTGAAGAGGGTAACACCAGGAAAGCTTGTGTTTTGTTGGAAGAGATGATCGAAATGGGTATAAGACCTTCGGGTGGGACGTTCGGAAGAATAAGGCAACTGCTCATCAAAGAAGGTAGAGAAGATGTGCTCAATTTTCTTAATGAAAAGATGAACCTACTGCTCAAGGAACCTCTCTGTGATTGAAAAACCTTTTGTGTTAATAGCAAAAATTAGGACAGCTTTTAAATGTCTCTCCTTGCCTCTTTGGCCATGTTTGTGTAATGTGAAGTGTTCCATTCTTAAAATCCTCAGTCTGTACAACTTTTACAAAATCATCTTTCGGTTTTTTATAACAAATTTTCATATCAATCATACAAGTTCTCTTTTCAGAATTTGCTATTGATCTGTCCTGTACAAAGAGTCAGGAGTTAATGTAAGTTAGATAATGCGTAAGAGGCGGAGTTCTTTCCTCTGAAAGCACATAAATAGAGAAGCAAAGACGCATACTTCATGTGCATGCAACATAATACTATGTAAGTGTGTGCAAATGCAATGCAGGTTTCTATAATGTTCTGGTCTCAGAAACAGAGTTTCTTCTTTCAATGGAGACCAGATGCAACTGAAAAAGCTAAATGAATCAAAACCCAAGAAGACACTCGGAACAAAAGTTTCAACTGTAGGGTTTTTTATCAGTTGGTGTAAAGTATCGTACAGTATACATTCTTTGATCATCAGATATACTGACACTACTGTATATTCCTTTTTATTTCTTTCTTGTGAGTTTTTCAATCTGTACAGTGAGAGGGAAAGATTATGCAGATAGACCTGTTTGTGTCCGTTACTCAGAGGGCCTTCTGATCAAGCCGTTCGTTCCAGTTTAAGCAACGGATTAAGCTTCTAAACCAATCACCGGTCTGATCAGACTTGTTGACGGTTGGGAGTGGATGCTCACTCATATATATTCTCACCGAGTCTCCCCTAGAGAGCTGTTGCCTTCTCTTTCCATCAAATGAAACCCATGCATTGCTTCGAGCATCCTCGGGAATCTGTTTTTTGTTTATGTTTTGGTGAGTAACAGAACGTGAGCAGTAAAAATGTCAATCCCTAAAGAATTCAAATGGACCCAGAAGACAAGGCATAAGAAATCAGGTTTGCCAAGACCACAGTCAATCTCATGATTCCTGTTTTCAACTCATGAACTAGGAGAATTCAAGCAAACCCAGATGAAATAATACTCTGATTCTATTTATCTCTTTTGTGGTTTCCACTCATGAACTAGAAGAGGTTCCGAGTTAACAGGTCATTGAGTTTCACAGTTATCCATGTGTGCTAGAGCTTTATAGTTATATCATTATATGCAGATTAAACAAGTATTTCAAGTTGAAGCTGATTTACGGTTTTACCTTTAATTCAAGTCTTGCAGAATCCGGAAGTATAACAGGTCTGAAAGAAAGGGAGTGCGGGCAGATCGGAGTGAACAACATGCAAGGAACGTTCGGATGCACCTGCAATTTCAGATTGTGTTGAATGTTACATGTCTCAAATAGAAAACTGTTCTTACAACGCAAATTCTACAATAAGCAGCAATATAGTTCTGCAATATGCCATTGATATATCAGATGGAGATTACTTCTCCTTTGAAACAGAGTTGGAAGTAATTCTCAATGGAAACCTCACCATGGAACCTCCTGCAGCTGTAGAGTATGCAGTACTTCCCGTAGGTGTGGCAACTATGACTCCATCACCTTGCACCTAAACAAGTATTTGGACGTATCAGATACATATCAGTGATTCATGTTGGGAAATTGTTCCGTTAAACAAGATATTCAACCACATAGAGTATATCACTTATGAAATAAATTCACCCGATACAAACCTTGGTGATGAGACGGTCATGCTCATAGCACTCGATCTTTGAAAGGTATGGGTTTGATCCTCGATCAACAACGATCTCATTCAGGACATCAAACACTTTACCAGGCATTGCTTTGCCATTACGATAGATTTCACAACGAAGACGCAACCTAAGAGTTATATAAACTCCATCCAACATGTTATTTCCATGGATGACCCTTCTGAGATCTTGCCTGAAGTTCTCAAACTGAATTGAAAAAGGAAGTGAGAAGGCTATAAATAAGTTTGAGGAGAGAAAAAAAGCTCGAGCCTTCTTACAGTATGGGAAGTGAGAAATCCAAGAGAGCCTAGATTGAATGAAACTACAGGAGGAACGGCCCCCTTAAACAAATTTGACGCATGCAGTATCACCCCATCTCCTCCTAAGCATGCAACAAAATCAACTCTTTCATGGAGATCACTGCAATCAGAAAATTATAAAAAAAAAATGATTATAATTGAGCCAAAGGTGATTATTCTAGCTGATGTTTCTAGGAATACTTCTCACACCTTGTGTCTTGAATGTAAAAGGTCTGGACAAATCCAAATCCTGGAATCCTCGCAAATACGTCATGCACCTCAGGTTCAACCAGTACATTCATTTTCTCTTGGTAATACAAGAAAGATGCAGCCTGAAACCAGTTTTGAAACAAGAAACAACTTTTTTCATGGGCTTCAAGAAGAATTCCAGGCATCTTAAATGCAAAACACAGAGACAAAATCTTTGTAATTTGAAAAACAATATAATTCGAGGGTCACCTCTTTAGCTTCCTCCATGAGTTCTTGCCCAAGCTTCTTCAGCAGTAAAACAGTTTTTGGTGTAGATTTCCATAGAAGCATCTGCTGTTGAGTACTTGGGTGAGTGAAGGCTAGGGATGATTCTGTCACCTTTTCCCTTGTACAAGAAAACCCATCGGTTCGAACTAAGAACATCTCTGCCTTTTTTCTAGATTGCACCCTCACTACACCAGTAGCAGAAGCACACATATTCCCCTCAATAGATCCAATTTCGTCATCACTGGAATCCAAAGGAGAAGCACCACTGCTTTTATGAGACTTTCTTACAGGTTTAGCCACATTGGGAGATATAGCAGTAGGCTCACCAGAAAAACCATTTCCCCGGTCAACATATACACTTTTATTGGTGATACTAGAAGCATGAACGTCTCCATTTGAAAATGTTCCATTGCCAAAATCTGAACCCTGTGATCCTAAGGATAGAAGGGACCCATTGGAGTTTCCTGTCTCTGAGAAATCCTTCAGAGCGTCTTTATCAATCATCTGATTTCTCTCCGTCGTCCTAACATATGAAAATTGCGAAGATGATACTGTTCCCAGTGTTCTGTATTGATTATTAAGATAAGCAGCAGGTGCAATGCCTTTGTTCTTCAAGAACGCAGACATTTCCTTTCTTGAGAAAACATTGAGTGGTGGAACTTGAGATTTAAGAGGATCAGCCACCATACTAAATTCTGATACAGATGTCTGTCCTTCGTTGCTTCTCTCTTTTGATTCATTGCTTTCCTTCGAAACAGAACTACTATCAAATTCAGTGATACCAGAGACATCATCAGCAAGTTTTTGAGGAACATGCGTGCGATATACTGCTTTCGACCCAGGCTTAGTTTCAGAAACCTCCCGTCGCTTTGTCTCTTCCAAAACCGGAGTTTCCTTGTTCATCGAACGTGTCATGTATTGTTTCCACCTGGATACCATAGCAGAAGTTCTCCAAACCCCTTCCTTACTGTGAAGGTATATCGGCCTTTTGCTGCAATCTGATACTAGAGAAGCAAACTGCTCGACCTGCTGAGCTGAAGGTGCCATCCTTACCTCCACCGGGATTTTCACCAATTCAATCTTCCCCCGGGAAATAGCATCTTCGAGGGTTGCCTCATAGAATGTATCCTTCACATCTTCAGCTCTCAAGTCTACTATTGTTTTATACCCTTTTTCTACTAACCACTTCAGTCCCTCTTCTGTTACCTGTCCACCCCTCCAAAAAGCAACCTCAGTTTCCTGGTAACCAAAATCCTCTTTCGTATTTGAAAAGTAGACAGGGTCCCAATTCGCGAAAATTGTATGGCTAGGATAGTTATCCCGACGTGGAAAACCAGCATCATAGCAGACATTCTTCAGCCATTGTAATTTCCTCCAAACAGTTCCACTTCTTTCGTCATCAGGCATCAAATAATTCTCGAGAGCAATGTGTAAGCTCTCGCAACATCGTTTCATTTCACCCCTGAAAACAGCAAGGGGTGGAAGCAGTTCCTCCGTGACACTTACATCAGCCACACTGAATGAATCCATAAAAGACGACCTTCCAGAGATAATTTCCTTCCGTCCTTTATTCAGAAGCGATAATAAACATCCAAGCACTGACACGATTTTGTCCTCCAATAACGGTTTTTCCTCGGGAGAAAACTCATATGGAACTCTACATTCACCTGTCAAAGGATTGCAAAGTGTCTCCATCAATGCTCCATGTAGCCTTTCAGCTGCTCTAAATATTCTACAGTAAGCCTCAACTTCAGCAATGTCGCCTGGAACTGGACCGATCCAAGGCAAGTTTGATGTATCGTGGGATTTCACAGCCTTCACGATCCAAGTAAATGGGGTCAGTCAAGTCAAACTGGTTTAGAACAAACTTACTCTAGAGTACAAATTAGTTCCCTGTCATTTTGTAAGGGAACACATGTTACATAGTAGATGCCAACATGAGCTTCTAACTTTCATCACATAAAACCAGAAAGAGATCACAGAAACTATTACCCTGTTTGGGATATTTATTTATGTAATAACATAATGTTTCTGGTAATTGCCTGATAAAGTTCTGTCCATCCTTAAACAAGGTTGTAAATACGACCAGGACTTTGAACTAACAATTATCTGAAACATCATTATTAAATAAAAACAAAATTAATTATGCGAAGCATGTAAAATGAAGCAACTTCCATAAGCAAGTGGTTTGCTCAAGTAATCGAATTTTAAGAATAATGTAAGGATCTTCAACATTTAGAGCCAAGCTCTGCAGAAGAAGATCAATATCGTCTCTTCCCGAAAAAAAAAAATTTGATTTTTCAAAGAAAACAAGAAACTAAGACCAGCAAGCAAAAGGAAGCATTGCAAACACGAACCTCTTCGCTAACAAGTCACTCTCTTCCTCTCTCAGTTCTCTGCCAGGCATTTCATCGAACATGATGGAAGCAAAGACAGACATCGACGAACACTTCAAACAAAGGAAAAACGAGAGATGCAGGAAAAAGCAAGTCACCTGAGAATCCAAACCCAGATCAGGAGAAAACGACTTCGACAGCTCCGCCCTGCTTACAAATCTCAGGCTTCGTCTAAACGAGACCCCATTTCTCTGCAACCAGAATCCGAATCGGAGTGATCGTCTCTCCAAAGACAAATCGAAGGAGCAGAAGAGGCGGGAAGAAGTTCCGGTGGCCGGAGACAAACAACTCATGTCGGAGAGAGGGACGTGGCAGAGGCAGAGACATGCCACCATAAGGGAAAAAAAAAATAATGTCCGCGATAACAACAAAAAAAAAGAAGCCCAGAACGTTATTGAGGATAAAGCCGATATCTTCTGATAAAATTTGGATTTTTTCTGAATTTCAGTGGCTCTGGTTTCGGCTTCATGGCAAAGGTAGAAAAACAAACAGTATCGAATTGGATGAGTTGTCTGATTTGGCTTTATGATGTGATGTTCCGCTGTTGCATACATTGCCTGGAAGGTGGAATCCACGCGCCAAATCACAACCTTGCTGGGAGCATGCGTTACGCCTCCTATACCTTCCAAGTTGTATTTATTTTATCTTTATCCTCCCTTCAAAAATATCCCTCAAATCTGTACTTCAAATTTAAATTCGATTTTATATCCACACATTTTAGGTATTTGAATTTGGATTAAAAAAATAGATATTTGTAAAAAATGGTACAGATAATTTTGTAATTTTAATAATTATTAGAAATATTTTTGTTATTAAAAAGTTAAGAGAAATATTATAAAACCTATACAAAAATAATCATAAAATCGTAAAATTTGAATGTACAACATGTCCATTAAACCGAACTAAACCAGACTAAATGTGATATATATTCTAATGAGTCATGACTAAATGTATAATAATGTGAGGATATTTATGCAACGTGGCCTCCCTAGGGGGAGTTCCAATGAGTATAAACAGATTCAAGAGAGGCTCATCAAATGGTGGAGAAGTATAGGTTACTGTACGTACATTTATATTTGGGCAGATGAATGAGCACTTTGATGGTCTTGTCCTTTCTGATAGGTCCCTCTTGTTGTTAGTTACAATGGATTGGATCTACAGCCGCAAATCTCTGTGCATCTCTGCTGCTGTAATGGATTGGAATTTCGTTTTCATTCTCTCTTCTGTCTTTAAAGACATGGTTTATATAACCCTAATCGCCTTCAACCTAAGCTACTTCGGGTTCTAACTCTGTCGATAAGCATCTGCCTTCCTGAAAGATCTTCCTCGTAACCGACAACCTGCCATTTTATATGGTTTAAAAGCATTATCAGTGTAATGGCAGGTGAAAATTGCCGGTATATGATGTAAAACTCTTCTCAAATACTGATGTTTCTGTAAAACTCTTCTTACATCTGAGAGTAAGAGCCCTAATCCTTTCTTGCCTTTGATATCAAAGCACAAACTCAATGCTTAATCAAGAATACGTTCTCTTCTTCGGGAACAATGACTTGAGTAGTGAAAAGAGATAAAAAGGACTACTAGGCCACTAAAACATGAGGAAAACTAACAGAAACCCACATATGACACTATAATTAGCTCGCAAAAAGCAAGGATAACCGGATTCATGTATGTGCAACAAGTGATTCAAGGGTATTTTGAAAGGTTTTGATGGGTTTTAGCTTTAAATTTAGAACTGACAGATTCAGAAACCCAACTAACAACAGACATGAACGCTTTCAATCATGGAAACAACAGAAGGAATTTCCAGAGAGTAAGAGCAATGACCTGAGATTCTGTTTGCGTCTCACTAAAGTTGACATAAGTGGCCGTAGTTTCATCACCTGAAGGACTGTGTCCTTCATCGTCCTTCGGAACCCTAGAACCATACATCAACATTAGCCCTTAATACTGAAACAAAAACATTGTGGTTCAGTCACCATAGCCTATGCTTGGGTCTTGTACAACATCAATCTGCTGACATTCTGTTTGTAAAAGATTAATAGGCGATGTTTTACCATTTCAGTGATTGTGCTGAAAGTATGGAGCATAAATATTAAGTACATGGCTACACATGGGAGTCGAAACAAGACTCTTTTCAGGGTTTATGATTTACATACTTCAACACATTGTATTAATTGGATTACAATGCATGCATTAGAGAATAATACTAGAAATACCTTTCCAAACGTGCAAAGGCATCTCATAAGATAGACATGACCACATTGATGAGCAGAGGGAAAATCAATGAAAAAGAAATTTACCTGTTTAACCAGTGTCTTGAAAGACCAGTGACGGAATGAATCCCAGTGTTGGATTGTTCGTTGCCCGAAGAATTAGATGGAAAAAGCTGGTTTGCCGTCAAGGATCTAAACTATTCAAAAAACCAATAACTCAAAGGAAAAAGAATAGAAAGCCAAGAACGGAACAAGGATACAGTCTTATCGGAAAAACTCCCAGGAGAATTCTGACCTTGAATCTAAACAAAAAAAAAAAACAGAGGTAAATGGGGGGAAAGAAAGATGAACGAGACAAAATATTGATCTAAACAAATTGGAAAGAAGGTGATAGTACTCACTTTACTTGTCTGCTCCAACAGATCCTCAATAGCAGCAGCCACATCTGGAACTGTACGACCAGGTTCTATATAATTTCCTGACGCATTATCCTCTTCAGAATTCAAAGCACAATCATTATGGCTCGGGTGTTGTCCCTTAGGAAGCACATGACATTTTCCATCTTCTGACAGCCTCACCTTCTTAGACTGAAATTTCCATCCAATATCTCCAAGTCTGTTGTTCACTTCACCTTTAACGCAGCCATTAGCATCCTTACCATCTTCAGATTTACTTACAAATAGTAATCCATTGTCCCTCGAGGTCATTGGTATAGATTGTGCGGGAAATTGACTTGCCAAGCAACACCCAGCTTCTCGGTCTTGAGTGGTCATTTGCTTTGGCTGGAAGTTATCTGGACCAACAACTTGATTCTGCAGAAAAGCAAAGAGAAAAAGAAAATGCTTGTTCAATCTCACATCTCAATGTCAAAGAATCTACATCAAAGGCATAGAGGTACTGAAGACCCACCCGTCTAACACATTCATAAACCCAGTCTGATGTTACTGAAACTATGCCCCACTTGCAAGCTGCTTCATACTTTGGTCCATCGTCAAATTTGCATAGCAAATGAGTGACTTTCCTGGTCAGTTTTTCCACAAATTTTGCTCCAAGAACAAAGCACAAATTTCTCAGGAGTAATCTCTCTTTTTCTTCATATTGAGAAACACAAAGTCGAAAACTTTGGAATCCAGGGAAAGGAGTCTGACAGGGTAGAGGGGAATAGAGGATGTGACTACCAACATCAAGCAAACAGCCATCCTACACCACAATGAAGCACTGGATAAGAATTTAAAACACACATATCAACAAAAGTTTGATAAAAACAGATCAAATCAACCACAGAAGACAATTGTTATAGAGCAAAACAGTAACAAAATGCTTAGATGAATGATGGTATAGCAGAATTATCTGTTCGCTTCATGTATAGAGCATTTCATAATCAATGGAATACCTGATAAATGATAGATTGCCACCGAAAAAATTTGTATTACCTCTAAACAAGACCTGACCCAATGACTTGAGACATAAGTAGTTTGGCTGGTCCCAGCAGTCCTACAGACCACTCCATGACACTCAATAGTACAATGCACAGTATGTTTAGAAGGATCATTTACCACCTCTCCCCCTCCTAAATTCACCCATTCAACGATTTCAGCTCTCTGCAAATAAATTCAAGTTGAAAAAAATAAATAAACAGACCCAAGAGGCGCTCTGTTATAGACAGAACATATCGAAACATCAAGGGAACACATCCCTGTCATAGGTGCATACCCTATCTTCAGGGAAAGAATGTGAGAAACAAAACGTTTTCCCCTTAAATACTGATGATTTCCTTCCTTGCTTGTCCTGACCACTGGAGTTGCAATGTGTTCTCTTTTGTTCTTTACTTTTTCCATTTGCAAGAAAAGGAAGAGGTTCATTTTGCTTGGATGACGCCATCTTTGCTTCCACATGGATCTCTTCTTTCCTAGAAAACTCTACCTTGTCTTCTATATTCTTTCCAAACAACGCTGTTCCAGGTGAACCATTGATACTCCTTGAAGAGAGGTCAAATGGCGTGCTTTGGTGAAGAGAAGTTTTACCCTGATCCATATCAGCCAACCCTGCAAGAGATCCTTTGGTCGAGCATACAGAATCTATGCAACAAAGGAAAAAAAAAAGACTAGTGGGTTGGAGAAGCTGAATATGATGCAATGGTGCGAGTCCCACGCTTCTCAAACAGATGACATAGTCCAAAATAACCAACAAATTATTAGCATACACAATGAGATAACTGCAAACCTCTTGGAAGTATCAAGTTGTGAGCAGTATACTTTTGATAGACAAGAATTTCTTTTCGCCCACGATCACAATCCTCAAGCCAACTGGTTGTGACCACTTGAATGACGCCTGAAGCTGCAACACTTCTTGCTTGCCTTTTTTCACTAAATACAGGAAGTACATGCAGAGATCGTAAGATTAACCTGAATATGCTTATATAGATCTACCAAGCAGAATCCAATTAGGAAAACAAGAAAAATAGAAAGACAATGCAAAAACAACACCAGGACTTACCTCTCGGATGGAGTTCCAACAACAATGTGTGTCAGTTTATCATTAAGCAGCATATACCGCGACCCCCCACCTGTGCGGACCATGTTAACTAGTCGACGCATTTCACAAGCACCAAAACCAAGTAGAAAAATTCTACACTCCGACAAGTACAGGTCATTGCCTTCGGACTCTGAGTCCTTGGCATCGCAACCATCGACATTGTTCTCTTGAGCCTCTGTAGTTGGGCCAACAATATCTCCTTTAGCAAAGGCTGAAGTATTCATAGATGAGGAATAGGCATTCTGTGAGACAGAAGCTTCTAGATCTGAGTCTCTAGTCTGCGACGCAGCAGGGACATCTGATTCTGCAGCAGCAGAAGATGTCGGTACTGCACAACTGACAACCTTTTCTTGACAATTATGGCTCTCTAAGGCTCTTGTACGCTTCATCAAGGATGATGAACTGTTGTGAACAGGATATGACTCCTCATTGAGGCACACTGCAATAACAGAATGACAACACAGTATGAGAGGCAATTTTTTAACTTAATCCAGAACCAATATGCTGAAAGTTGCTAAAAAAGAACGCAGAGGATACAGAAATCATTGGATATCACCTTTTCTAGCAATGGATTGATCAAACCATTTCCGAGTTACAGTATGAATGTGGCCCCATTTCCGGGCAACTTTATATTTGTCACCTTCAGCAGTGTAGCCAATTGTCAAGGAGACAAATTAAGTAAGTCCAAAGATCCATATTTTAGGGCTTGTGAGGCTTAAAAGAATTTCCAGGACACCTGATCTCAATCAGATAATAGTCAGAGTTGCATATGGTTTTGACTTTAGAGAACCCGGAAATGAAATATTGACAACTTCCAGCATTTAAGAAAAATGATATTCGTCAGTACGACTAAATATAATCTGAAAATCAGCATGTGACTCATCAAAATGACAATTAAAAGGATATATCAGCAATCAAATGTGTACAGCTCTTGGTCAATTCAGCAGAATACTTCCCTCCGTTTTGTGAAATGAGTTTCTCAATCTCCTTACGCTCATCTGGTGGTAAAGCACTGATTAGCAACCAACAATGAACCTCGATAGCATGAGAACAAAAAGCCTATTCTCTAACCAGCTGGAATTCTTGTAACACAAATTGTCAATCCAGAAAAAGGAGGAACTCTGAACGGTTCCTGGGGAACTACGCGGTGCTCATTCCAACACTGATGTAACCAATTTAGCGCAACAACTGGTTTCTTCTGAATATTCAGAGCCCACTGCATGATGAAAGAAACACACAAAATCATCCAGCTGTCGCAATGAAATAAGCAGGCACTGTTCCAACAGTCTATGAGCAAGAGACCTTATACTTGGCAGCCAAGACATTCTTCACAACAACAAAGTTGACATCTGAAGATGCTTTCCCAAGCAAAACGCCTCCCATGGCTGTGACCAACTTGCCAATCTTGACCTGAAAATAGTTGAAAACAACCAGGTAACAGAATAGTCCCATCAGTGCAATGTGGAAGATGCATCCTGCCCAACAAATGTAACTTAATTTTCTGTGCCAAGATATGCTGCGCTAAGCATTTCAATTTTAATAGTCATATGCTTCGAAAATGTACAAGAGAAATTTAGCAAATAGAATGAAAAGAAAGAACGAAGCAAGAAGAACCAAAGTACCTTCTCATCCATTTGAAAACCAGAAGCAAGAACTTTTAAACCATCCATCGCTAGGCAACAAGTGAATCCCCCTGTGGGCAACGGCCTATTCTCTTTTGCACAGGATAGTACACACTGGGGACCTGCCCAACAATAAACACAACAATTGTTTCAGAACCTCATTGGAAAAACTCAACAAAGTCAGATTATTTCGTATAATCTTTATATGCAAATCATGAACCAGAGAGTTGCGAGTAGACAGAAAAGAGAGTAATTTGTTTCCATATCTAAATACAAATTAATTCCACTATAAAGAACCAAATAGATCAATCAAAATCTCAACTTAAGCTATGGAACCCCAAAAAGAGACAGAAGAGCTCGACACGCATCAGCAAACTCCGATCACCAGGCTTAATTCTATCAGTACTGAAGTAACTCTCCGCAGTAACGTAATAACAGAGGACCCAATTGATGTTTATTCAATACCAAAATAAATTCAGAGAGATATCGACAAATTTCACCTATTAAATTACAGCCCTTTGCTCTAAGATCCTCGAATTTCTCCTGCAAAACCCAGAAGTTTCATGTGATTCGAGAAAAATGGGTGCAGAATTCCCAGAACTAGAAGCAAATTGAAGCTAAGGAGAAAGTGCCGACGTGATCAGGAGAAGCGATGACGTGAAAATCGTCGGGACCGTTGCGGGAAGGGTCGCAACAGAGGAAAATCTCGGCCCCATTAAACTTGAGAGCGTCGAGAAGTGTATCGAAAACCTCAGGAGGAACCAGATTCCGCGATATGAACACATTCGCGCCATTGAACATTTGGGTCGTCGTCATCTTCCTCCGGAAACCTACACACACGCTCCAAGCTTCTGGAAGATTCGTGGAAACCCTAGAAGGCGCAGAAGAATTTTTCGGGAATCGAAGCTCGGGATAGAGGAGAGCTCAGTCGTGGAAAAAGCGTCGGGAATCGGCGGGATAGAAGAGAAGAGTTTCAAATGGGTGCAAGATCAAGAAGCGGGAATCAATTGCCATTGATCACCAGTAAGAAGCTTCATCATCACGTATATTTCAAGGGCTTATTCTTTTATGACGTCATTATTTTACTACTAATAAGATCGCATGACATCACGTACTTCAACGGCTGATTTTCAAATTTTAATAGAACAAAACGTCTTTAATGTATATATATAATATATCTAGCTATATGTATATATGTATATGTGTATATATATATGTATTTGTATATATTTATTAAAAAAAATAAAAGGGAAAATTCGGTTTACGTCTCTAATTTGAAAACAAATTTACAAATTTAATACTTTATGGAAAATAAAAATAAATTTATGTATTTTATTAAAACATAAATTTTATAAATTCGGTGTTTTTATCATATTTTTTGCGACTTCAAGTCCTCAATGATTTTAATGTAATTTGTCCTTATTTTTTATACGTTTGAAAGTTTATTGTTTTTATAATTTTAAGTAAATTTAGATATTTTTCATTCAAGTTCTTTGAGTAAAAAGATATTTTTTAGATGTAATGCAGTAATGAATAAAAGCCAAAAAAAAGGTGTGAAGGAAAAAAAACAAATATCGGTATATCAGCAGGCCGACCACCGCGTTCCGTTCTTCAACGGCAACAAATTTTTTTTTTTTACATTCCCTCTTCTCTTCTTCGGATTTCTTGTGGTTCGGATTTCGTCCTCTGTCTGCCTTCTGAATCGGGTACGTTTCTTTGGTGTTTTCTTCGTTTTCCTTTTGTGATTGTCAGTTCATTTCATTTGCATTCGTCGGTTCGGATTCATAAGATTAGGGTTTCTTTTTTTTTTTTGTTCAGGATTGTCGATTCGAGGATTCTCTTGAAAATTTCCTGTCTTTTTCTTTTCACCGACGAATTTTACAACCGAAGTGAAGGCTAGAGGGTGATGGTTGTTATCGTCAATGGCGATGATTGAAGCGTCCATTGCGTTGGGCTAGGCTATGGTTGACCTTTTCGGAGTGTTTTGCGGTGGTTTAGGGTGTTTTAGGAAGTGGTTGTTTGATATATTGTTGGATTACCGATGAAACAGGAATCGGTTCTTGAGCGAATCAGTGGATAAAGTCCTGTAATTATAGCATGGAGTGATCATCAAGCAGCATTTTTTGGGCTTATTTCTCAGAGTAACCCTTTATCTGATAAGGGTTTTTGCTCTGAAGCAGTGGCATTTTGATGGATTGCAAGGAACATGGTTCTATTGCCCCAGATGGGTGTAGTTCCGACTCGGGCAATAAGAATGCTGATGACCTGGGCTCAGATCATGTAATGGATAGCGTTGGAGACGATGAGATGAAGATAGATAGTTTATGCACGGTTGCCCTTGAGATAGAGAATGCAGGAAAAAAAGAAACCAGGGTTAGTTCAAATTGTGAAAGCTCTGTCCTTGATGTTCCTAAAGCGAAAGCCAGTGGACAGTGCTCCGAGAAAGAGAGCTCTGCAGGGCATGATAGAACTTCTGTCAGTCCTTTTGAGGCATCCCAAGTTACTTCCGGTTCAGATCCGAATCATCCAATAATGGAGGCTCGTGGAAGGTGCTTTGGGGAGATTAAGCAAATGATAGATGGGAAAAGCCTCATGTCCTTAACAGAAAGACATAGTGAATGCTCAGATGATGATGATCGAACATCTCGTAGTAAAGATGCTGACAATCAGGGCGAGGAACTTGTGCCAAAGGAACTTGAACTAACCCATAGATCGATACCAGATGTCGTTGTACCTGTAGACTGTAATAAGCAAGAAGATGGAAAGGCTAGTCAGGATACAAATTATTCCGTTGTACCTGTTGTTTTTGAGAGTGTGCAAGAAAAAGGAGATCTGAAGGCTAAAGAAGATGAAATTTCCGGTAGTTCAGTATTACCTATAGGGGGCAGCAAAACAAATAGTAAATTGGCTTCCGTAGTTGATGCACCAAATCATTGTGAGGCTTTGGATGCTGTTAAGGACAGAAACATTGTTGAAATTGGCGGTGACAGTTCTAGTTGTACCTCTGATGTAAGAGTCGAGGAAGAGAGAAATGAACTTTTGAGTGAACAAGATGCTGCACCTTCCGATGATGCATCTTACCTCCCAAGTTGTCAATTATGTTCAGATTCAATATTGGACATTGGAGGTTTGAGTTGTAGTGCCACAGAAAATGATTTGAAAGCCTCAGGTGAAAAAGGAGGCAAAATGGATGTCTCTACATGTCCTTTACTAATTTTGCCACAAATGTTCTGTGGTCAAGCTAAAGAAGATGATAGTAATGTGATTAATCCATGTGCAAATGATCTTGAGGGCAATAAAGATATGAAGACATACACTTCAGGTTTGAAGCTGCTACATGAGGCAGATCTTCATAGTAATATTCCTGGGAAGAATGATCGACGACTGGAGAACCATGTGGGGTTATTGCCCACTAGGAAAGCTCCAGATGCTTTGGAAGAGAATAATGATAGTGCTGCTGATACTGCAGCTGAGGTTTTCAGCCAGGTGCTACTTGTAGAGGAAAATGCTCGTGGCTTGGGAGGTGGGGTCCCTATCACCATGTCTTCTTTGAAGCTGAATTTTCCATCGGAATTTGAAAAAGGTACCATTGATGTTCCTATTTCTAGCAACACAGTTGAATATTTGAGAACAGTGGATGATAATGATAGACTAGGCGGTGAAATTACATCTGCATCTGGAACTTATTGTTCTGAGACTATCCTGTCTTTTCCCCGTAGAAAGGGCCGAGATAATAACCAGGGTAAAAAGGCTCAGACAAAAAGAAGTGCTCCCCGTTCAAGAAAATCCTCCAGAAAGAAACAATCAGAAAAAAATTTTGAATCGATTTTCAATTGTTCAAAGCAGAAGAGGAGCTGCTTTTCAAAACCTGCACGTTCATGTGAATGGGGATTACCAAGAAGCACTACTCAGATTTTCTTGCAGAGTAACAATCTTCCTTCCTACGAACCTCCAAATCAAGGACCACATAGCAATCGGGGAAACAGTAAACCTAGTAAAAGTTGCCGTAATGGGCATCGAGAAGAATCTATCAAAAAAAGTCAAACATCTGGTGGCTGTTGCCTTCGGTTGAAGGTCAAATTTGGAAAATCGGGTGGTATGAATCCTCTCAATGTTACAGTTTCTAAGGTCATTGATGACTCCTTGTCTAATGACAATGGCCAGGTAGGCTCTGGTTTAGGAGTTCCGGTATCAGCCAGCCGTGAAGGGATGAATCTGCAAACTGCAGAAGTTGGAGAACACTCAGAAGAGTGTGCAAAGCTCGAGAAAGATGACTTAGAGGCTCAGACTTTATGTGGGAGGCTGGCTGGTAATGCTGCAGATGATGACCTTTCCTTGGGTGTAGTTGTTGAAGAATGCAGAAAATCCACTGAAAACTGCTACATAGATGCCGGAACTTCTCCAGATTCCGAAGTTATCAATTCTGTGCCTGATGCCATCGTCAGTTCTGGACATCAGGGTGACTTGCGTCATACAGTTTTGTGCATTCCTGAGGCATGTGCCAATCCTGAAGATGCTATCAACAGAAAGGAAGACAAAAAGGAAGATTGTTCATCTTATATTGGCAGACCAAACAAATCCAAACAGCCAAAGGGCCAACGGAGGGGAGAGCGAAAGGTAAAAGATTCTCTCGATGGGGATATTCTGTATTCTCATTTGTGTGAAAAATCTTCAAGCTATACATATTTTCAGGATGGCCTCTATCCTGAACAGAACTCTCTGCCTAGAGATGATGAACTCAGAGTCATAGAAGAGAGTACAGAACCAGGAAGCTGTAAGGAGGCTTATCCCAGTTTTGACCTACAGTTAGGCGGATCACACAGTTCCAAAGATGTGCTTTATTCAGCTAAATCCAAGGGAAAATCCAAGAGCAAGGGTGTTCCTAAAAGCTCAAAAAATAATGGCTCAAAGAAGGGGAAATCCAACATTTCTGAATCTTCCAGGAGCAGGAGAAGAATTGAAGCTGGAGAGAGGGCAGAGCAACAAAAACTCATTAGTAGTGGTAGTGGAAAGGTAGAGGGTGGCGCCACTGAAGTGGGAAGTGTACAGTCACATGAAACGACAGGTATCGGGTCTTTTGGAGAGTAAGAATTGTGTCCTGTTCTCTATTTCCTGCCTCTTTTTAAAATGACAGTAAATTGCTGCTTTATGTGAACTTTTTAAATATCATTTTGATATTCGTTTTGTAGATTTCTCTGTGTTCTTTGCTAATTTTCATCTCAGAATTCTTAGTTCAATACAATACGTGAAATCATGTAATAGGCTGTCTCATCAATGTATATACTCTGAAAACCAGTGCCATTAATGGCGTCATGTCACCAGATGTTACCAATGGGGAAATGGTCTTGGGCGGTACAATTGGGGAGAATGCTTCGGCAGATAGTGCTTGGGTTCGGTGTGATGATTGCTTCAAATGGCGACGGATACCTGCTTCTCTTCTAGGAACAATTGATGAGAACTGTATATGGTATGTATCATCACCTTCTGCATATGGGAGCTGTCTGTATGAAATTCCCGAACGGATAGTTTTTATGACCTACCCTTTTCTTTGTTTTCTTTACCTTGAAATGTGATTAGACAATTATAGGTGTTGTTCATTTTGTTCTAACAGTGCATATCTTATCAACCTCTTAAGTTCTTGTACCTGTTGCATTTTGCATTCCATGAGATTTTGTAGGTAAGCCTTTAAATGAGTTCCTTTCTAGTCTCTGTCTAATTTCGATGGATATTCTAAACCCTGTTCGGGGCCCCGGTTGTTCTGGTTGGATTGCTTCATTATGTCTTATTGTTACATGTCTTGTGGGATCTTGTTTCTGTCAGCATGATGCAGTGTGTTGCATATGGTGTCCACTCGTGCTCGGGGCTAACAATTTTTGAAACTTCTGGGGTAAATGGGATCCTGTTACTCTGCTTGAATCTGCATGGATCAAGTCTTTTCCTATCGGCTTCGACTGACTCATCTGTTATCTTTCTAACAGACTGTCAAATATCAATGATTGATGGGGGTTTTATTTCTTAAAAAATGTATGACTTTCATGGAATTTGGACTTCCTATGCGTATTTGTTTTACATATAAAACATTTTTGCTTGCTGGGGTGGTTTAATTCATTTAATATTGTTGCATTTTTGCTTTCTTAATGTTTCATATAAAACATTTTTGCTTTCTTTGTAGTCCTTTTCCAATATTTTCCTTCTTAATGTTTTGTAGGAAGGAGGTCATCATTAATACGTCTCAGCAGTTGATATGTTATTGATGTATCTAACACAGATTTATTTGATTTAAGGATCTGTATGTACAACTTGGATAAAGATTTTGCTGATTGCTCAATCCCTCAAGAGATGTCGGATGAAGAAATTAATACTGAATTGGGCATAACACAGGATGAAGCAAATGCGTACGACAGTGATCTGGCAAACAAGGAAAAAGGAAAGGGACAGAAGTGCGAAGGGTTGCCAGGTAGATGAAACTGACATTAAAATTCCACTTTGGCTGGCGTGTTCTGATGGTTTTATGATTGTTTCATCTTGTTGATTTCTGGTATGATGCTTTTCTTGGCCATAATTTTTTAAGGTAACCGAAAGGCATGCTTCAAGGCTATAAAAACAAATCAGTTTCTCCGCCGTAATCGTAAAGCTCTGACAATCGATGAGGTTGGGTTCATGAGATTTTGTTTTGTTTCTGTGATAGTGAAGCATGTGCTTGCCCTCGGACTCATGATATTAACAATTCATTGTATGAATACTCAATTATGATGTTTCCTTATTAATTTGAATACTCTCTTTGGGAGCAGATAATGGTATGTCACTGTAAACCGCCACCTGATGGCTGGTTGGGTTGCGGAGAGGAATGTCTCAATAGAATGCTTAACATTGAATGTGTTCAAGGTACCTGTCCCTGTGGGGATTTCTGCTCAAACCATCAGGTATTATGTTTTGTTAACATGTTATGTTTGTAGCTCATTCTATTTTCCTCAATATCTGGGATCATATGGTTATGCAGTTTCAAAAGCGGAAGTATGCTAAATTTGAGAGATTCCAGTCTGGTAAGAAGGGTTATGGCCTGAGACTGCTCGAGGATGTACGCAGGGGACAGTTCCTTATTGAATATGTCGGAGAGGTATCTTAGTAAACAATCTCAATATTCAATGATCTTCACATTTGGAGGATATGATCATTTGTTGGGTGGCTTTATCTTTATCCACTTTTATCCTCTTGTTAGTGTGTTTCAGTCATATCCACAACTACGATGCTTAGAGCCTTAGACCAACCAATGAAAACTGTATATGAATTGTCTGCTTTGTTAAATAGGTGCTTGATATTCTAGCATATGAGGCTCGTCAAAAGGATTATGCTGCCAAGGGTGAGAAGCATTTCTATTTCATGACACTGAATGGCAATGAGGTTTGCATCTTATTCTTTGCTCCTTCCTCATCATTGTTGATTGAAATTATCTATAATTTGTGGCCTATGTCTGGAACTCATTCTGTAGTATTGTTTCCTTTTAGATTTGTATTCGCTGACACTATGCCTTTCAGTTCTCCCCCATAGTCATCCTTTTTATGTTTTTTGCTCTCCAGGTGATAGATGCTGGTTCCAAGGGAAACTTAGGGCGCTTCATTAATCATAGTTGTGAACCAAACTGCCGTACAGAGAAGGTAAGCTATTTGTGACATCTTTTTGTGTTGTGTTTAAGGTATTATTGTTTTGTGAAGCGTCTTGCTCTGCGGTTGCATGAGGAATGCAAAATCTGAGTTTCAGGCATTATGACTAGTATTTCCTTTTCTTCTTTCTATCTTCTACTTCTTTTGTTTAGGTTTTCCATTTGCTAACTCCTTAAATATTGGTGCAGTGGATGGTGAATGGTGAAATTTGCGTTGGAATATTTTCCCTGCGAGACATTAAGAAGGTATCCTCCCCCTTTGGCATCTCCCAGTTATATGTGAACTAACTATTTTTCAAAGATAATTGGATATATATTGAAGTTATACGGGATTTCGGCACATTCGATTTTTGGGCTGTGGCTGTACAATTACAAAACTGAGTAGGAAGGGCAAAATTAAATTGGTTTATTAATTCCCTGAATTTAAAATTGATTTAAAGGGAAAAAGAAATGGACGCACGTCACTCTCCCTTGTAGCTTTATATTTACTGAACAAATGATGTTATAAACACCTCATCTATTACAATTCTATCTGTGCAGTTTTCCTTTCAGTAGTTTTTAATCAGTCCATGTGCCTTGTCAGGGCGAAGAGGTGACATTTGACTACAACTATGTTAGGGTATTTGGAGCTGCTGCCAAAAAGTGCTATTGTGGATCATCACATTGCCGAGGTTATATCGGGGGTGATCCTCTGAATGGTGATGTAGTTATTCAAAGTGATTCTGATGAAGAATTTGCCGAACCTGTGATGCTTGTAGATGATGAAAATGGGGATGGTATCTTAGATGCAACATCTAGAATCTCCATTAATAGTGCAGAAGTACAAATGCCACGAAACATTGCAAAGATTGATGGTTCTAAGGACCTTGCTCTTGAAATTTCCCACCCAGAGAGCTCAGTATCTGTAGAACCTTTGGAAAGAGATATCGTTCCAACTCTTCAGCTAACTGAAGGTTCCAAGGAACACACAGCTGGCATGTCTGTAACTGATGTACAGCAGGAGGTTTCTGTTGAAGGGAAAAGTGTAACCACATCTTCCACTTCTGTCTCCCTTAGCAAGCTGTTCTCTGACAGTACTGAAGCTGATAAGATGGCTATGCATGTTTCTGGTGAAGATAAGACGATGGTTCCAAGATCCCGTCCTCTATTTAAAACTTCTCATTCCTCTGGTTCTAGTAAGCGAGATAAAGGAAGTAAACGTCCCAGTGTAACAAAGGTGCAGATTATAACGGCCGGTAAGTTGCATCAGCAGCTTGTGAAATCTAAAGGATCAGAAGAAACTTCCCCTAGCGGGCATATGGAAACATGTATGTAGCAATTTTAGATGTGAGTTGTTCAAAAGCCATGCATAAAGTTGATATACTGATGACATTCATCAATTGTGCAGTTGAGGGGAAACTGAACGATTTACTGGATTCTGAAGGAGGGATTAGCAAGCGGAAGGTATATAGCATCAAGCATATTCAGTACTTACTACTTAGATACTTACAAATGGAACATCCTATCTTTTCGTTTCACTGAAACTTACAACCTTAGCATGATTCTTTTTCTCTCATATTTCCACTTTATCCATCTGACGTTGCAGTGCATTTTACATGTCTAAGGTGATCCTTTTTCTTTTGGGACAGGATTCAACAAAAGGGTACTTGAAACTTCTTCTTCTCACTGCAGCTTCCCGAGGCAATGCCAACAATGAAGGAATCCAAAGGTCTTCAAGATTTCCAACTTCCTCAGCTTTACTTCCCATTTGTACATTTTTCTCTTATGTGCTCTTGGTGTCTGAAACTTCGACTCTTCATGAACATGATGCAGCAACCGAGATCTTTCAATGATTCTCGATGCCCTTTTGAAGACAAAGTCACGTGCTGTTTTGATGGATGTAATCAACAAAAATGGTATAATGTCTTTCTTTGTTTCGTGCCCGTATGTGTTGTCTTCTTCCTTTTGTTATGTAAAAAAAAACAATTTTTTTGTTCTCACCAACATTAAAGAACGTTCATTGATTTTAATCCAGGGCTGCAAATGCTACATAATATCATGAAACAGTATCGAAGGGATTTTAAAAAGACTCCAATACTCCGGAAACTTCTTAAGGTACATTTGTCTTAACCCTATTGCCTGTGATTAGGATGTTATGATCAGAACACACCTCAGCATCAGTGATCTTAAAAGTTTGTCTTCCTATTACGTTCCTTTAGAATAACTCCAACGAAAGGAAGTTCTGCTTACAACTTAGCTATTTTAATATTAATTTTCATTCGAACTCATCTCCATGACATGTAAGCTTGGAAAGAAAACACATCGATGGAAGTTGGGTATTTTCTAGTCTATTCTTTTCCGTAAAATCAAGCTTTTCGTTTCATATCCTGTGTGCTGAGAAAGTCAAAACCAATAGTCATCCTTTTTGTCATTTGCATTCAGGTATTAGGGTATCTGGCAACAAGGGAAATTCTTACACTAGAACATATAATCAGAAGGCCGCCATGTCTTGGGATGGAAAGGCAAGTTTGACTGAACAGTGAACCCTGCTTCATGCAATTTTGTGTTTACTATATACTGTGTTCATGATGAATCTTGATTCATTGACCTATTGCTGTCAAGTACCTGTGTTGCCTATTCGTTGTATTTTGATTTGTTTCAGTTTGTCAGATCCTGTGTTCAATACTTCAATCTTTGAATTTATACAAATCTATGAAGAGCTTAAGGAATTTTCTGCTGGTTTGCGGGAAATTATGAATGTTCAAAGAATTCGGACTTTTCATAGAGTATTGCTCTTGTGCCTCTGTTCCGCTGTTTTAGAAACCCTTATAACATTTTATGTTTATTCGCGTGCAGCTTCAAGGACTCTATACTGACACTGACCGAGCATGATGACAAACAGGTACAGATGTTTTTTTTCTTGGTGGAAGTGTCTTAAATCTGAGTACTCTGCTTTATTTAGTTGTTTTAGTATTCCTTGATTGGTATCTTTCTAACGAGTTAGAGTATCTTCGTATTGACATTTAATTCCCCTGATCTTTTGATACCTATGTCTGCAGGTTCATCAAATTGCCCGGAACTTCAGAGACAGATGGATTCCTAAACCGTTTAGAAGACCTTATTACATGGACAGGGATGAGAGGTTGGAGTCTATTAACAACAGATTCTTAGCATCACAGTCACCTCAGTATGATCATCAGCCATCAAGATCCACAGAGCCGGCGGTATCGGGCTTCTTGTCAAGAGCTGCATCTTCTGAAACAGCTTCAGTATCTGAATTTGGTTCAGAACCAAATTCCAGTGGTCACGAAGCAAATGGTTTCAGAATTCGTAAGCGTAGAAGCAGATGGGACCAGCCGGCAATGGCAAAAGAACAAAGAACGGAAACCACTTTGCCTCAACAGTCCAGTGAAATGAATGGAAACCAAGATATGCAGGAGGACGACCTCCCTCCTGGATTTTCCTCACCATTGAAGCAACCCTACAACAACAAAAATGCTCCTGATGATGCAGTAATTGCACAACCTCAAGGGAAGTTCCTTTCTCGGTTACCTGTCTCCTATGGAATTCCATTGAGCATTGTTCACGAATTGGGCTCTCCTAACAAAGAAGATCCGGACAGTTGGTCTATTGCTCCTGGGATACCGTTTCAACCATTTCCACCTCTACCCCCAGTTTCTCGGGATGAATACTTTTCGAGGAAAAACGGGTCGGTCTCTACATCGGGCAACCAACATGGAAATCCAGCTTGCTCGGGCGAGAACTTAACAGGCACAGCCATCTTTAACCAGGCCTGTTGGAACATTTCAGGGGCTGACACCAACTCGGGAAACAACCGAAAGAGAGGATTTCCATCGGAAAACGGAGGAAGATACTTCAGGCAACAGAAGTGGAATGTTCCTCCATGGACCAGGAATGGTTGGGGAAATCAAGGAGACAACGTTAGAGGGAATACAAGTAGTAGTAGTGGCCATGAACCTGGGGAATAATATGACTTGTGAGAAATTCAGTAACTCATATTGGTGACTATTTTGATAAAGGCCTTTGGTGAAAGTGGAAGTGGTGGGCATGTACAATTCTTCTCAACAAACAACAACAGCTCTGAAGAAGAAAGGAATTACATTGATTGATTCATAGGGAAATTCCCCTGGACAGATCTTTTGTGTTTTTCTTCCTCAGTGTATCCTAAATTCTTTAATTTTATGAAGAGAAAAAAAAAAACTTTTGATTACACCGAGAAATCTATTTCAACGCAAAAGCATTGCCTTCTGTATTCTCTTCTGAAGAAATAAATTTCAGGTCTTCCTTGGGATTTCTCTCTCACTGCATTTACCTGTTAAATTGGGGACATGTACTTGTTGGGCCTAAAAGGCTTAAAGGCTTTTTCAACTTGGTCTTTTAATATTTAAAATACAAAAGTATAATCCAATGTTTTTTCTGAATAAATTACAGCCCAAATTTAAATGAAAATAATTGCTGAAAAATTGGGTAAAAATGTTATATAAGAGGTCCACTTAGGCCCAGCCCACAATAATAAATTGACAGATGTGTGTATAATTTTACAAGACTATTTTTGTATGGGTATCACATCAAACTCAACAATATATAAAAAAATATTTGAGTTAAATCTGATTTATAAAATGATAGATATAATGTTTAAATAAAATTAGTAATCTTTTAATTGTATCCAAACTGAATATATTGAAAATATTGAAGAAAATAAAATAAATATTTTAATAAAATCGAATTCGGATAAAATTTGAATAGAAACTCAACATAAAGGTGAATATTAAATAGATAACCTAAAGATAATTTGAATAAATTCACCTATAGTTTTAACTTATTAATAGAGAAAGATATTCATAGATACAGTAGTGATATAGATATTTTAACAAATCGGTTGTAGTGTTCAGTGTGACCAATAATAATCATTACAAAAATAAATGAAAATAAAATAAAATTTTCTACAAAACTCACGTGTATGTTGGAGGAAATATACCAACTCTCAATGGGGACAGGCAATAAATTTTCAATTTAGTTAAGAAAATATATTATTAATTCGTTATAAATATAAATGTCTCAACTGTGACAGTTAACTAACCAAAAAGATTATGCATGTCCCATTCACCTCAACTTCTTCATTTAATATAGTTTATTGCTATATCAAATCTTTTGTCTTTTTTATTATTTCTATTTTCCATAAAATAAAATATCTTACTTGTTCTTGTATAAATTTGTATCAATTTTGATAATCTTAAAACACTATGAGGACAACAAAAATATATATATCAGAGGATATGATATAGAATTTGTATTTTTAATATTTTGATCTGATTCATACTTTTATATTGGATAATTTATTTTTTTTCTACATTTTTAATACTAAAGAAATTTAAAGTAGATACAAAATTCTAATAATATATAAATTATATATCTTTTATCAAATATTATATGCATGATTTCGTTTGAAATGAATATTTCCGTACAGCTTAATTCACTAATTAAAAAAAACAAACATTACATTATATCTTTAGAGCTTTAGTTGGATTAAATCGTGGTATATAGTAACTAATATCTAGTTCATTCTATATAATTTTAAATTTCATTAAAAGAGTTATTTAATTGGATTGAAAAATCACAATCAATTACAGTTGAGTAGGTATGCCATAGATTCATATAGCATGTGACATGTAGTTTTCATTGCTTCAAGATATTACAAAATTAAGCATTATGATTATTATGACTGTGGAGCCTGATGCCCATACATATTTTTGTATATTCTATTTTGAAATTCGAATTGTTTCTGTTAGAAATTAAAATATCAATTGATATAAAAATGAATTAATTATGATAATAAAACCACCATATAACTTGACAACGACTGTATTACATCATTCTTTCTTTTAATTGTATATAATCTATACGTCAGGGGGCTCCCGAAAGCCATGCGAAATACTTTGGTTTAGGGTTTTGAAATTCAATGTTTTACTTAAGACATAAGTCACATACGGTTAATTAAAAAATTTAATATAGGATCGATTATAAATGATATTTGAATTAAAATGGGGATTAAGCGAAACCCGCCAACTCAGGAGCTTAGTCTCCTCTCTCTCTCTTTCGGTTCATGTTTGACAGTTTGTTGCAACTCTCAACCCGATATATATATATATATATATGAATAACTAATTTTTTAGATTATATTATATGAATATTTCAGAACTCGTGTTATATATCGCTCAGCAAAATTAGAAACGACATTTTTTAAAAATTAATCCTAATTTTATACAGAAATGGCCAATGCATTTATCAATTTTGATATAGAAATGGTGATATAAGGTAGAATATATAATTTTAAAAATATGTAAAATGCTATGGCAAACAACAAAATAGAAAAAGAAAGGGAGGAGAAGCACACTACGTGTCGGGTGAGCAGGCTCCTAAAAATGTAAAAATGTCGTTTGGGAGAATATATGACGGTGAAGTATGGCTTTCAGGCTCAGTTAGCGTGTCGTTTTTCGACTTCGGAGCAGACACCGACACTTTTAAAACGGCAGGTATTCCGTTATTTTATTTGGCACGGTGCTCCATACGTTGAAGGCCAACCATCATCATTTCATGCAACTAATGTTTTTTTTTTATTTGTAATACAAATTCAGTCTATACACATCCGGTCCAATAAAAATATTTATTAGTTTATATCTTACAATTAATATTATTTTTGTATTAAATTAATTTAAATAATTAAGATTATAATGGAAATATGTGACTTTATCGCTATCTAAATTAGACTCCTCTATGCCCATGTAAATATCTCTTTTTATTAAAGCAATTTATGACAGAAATATGTTGGATTATATCTGACCATAAATTATCATACGTATAACATATTATTTCATAGTATATATATTTAGAACTAAATTATTGGATAATGGTCTTGTAAACACACAAGAATAAAATCCATCGGCATGAAAATGCTAATAAAAATGACGTCAGCAAGAGGGAAATAATATTTTAATGTATATAGATATGTAGGTATTATTTGGATAGCTTCTGCTATCATTATTACAATATATTAAATGCACGAATTAGACAATAAGATTTAAACACGCAAATGAGATGATAGATTTGGTATTTCTTGGAAACATACTAAAAATAAAGTCATGGTTTCATACGTCAGTTGTGACGTCGGCTACGTCTATGCACACTATAAAAAAAATTGTCGGTTGTAACCATTTAACGCCAAATATACGATACGGACAACTATTAATGATACGATTGTGGTACGCAAATAATACAGATCTTGTAATAAACTTTTATTTAAACCCAAATTTAGTAACTTTCATCTCCCAGAGCTACATCACCTATCAACTACTAAAGATATTTGTATATTTATTCAATAATAAAAAAAACATATGCAGGGTGATTCACGTGGAAGCTGATACGGCATCGGTATGGGTATCTAAAACCCGACCGAATATAACAGAATCCCATAACATATAATGGGATAAAAAAGTTGATTGATTATGATTTAAAAAATAAGTTTTTTAATGAAATCTGAATCCAATCCAAAAAATGAAAATAAAGTTTTCTAAAAATATTATAAAAACGAAAAATTATAGTTTTTCATGTAGCATTGTTCGGACGCTTGAACAATGTTAAATGAAAGCCTCTATTAGATCAAGTTGTGATTAATTTGATATATAAACTTAGCTCACAGTGAATATATCTTTTTTTATAGAACAATTTGAAACTTGGCCCGCAAAACAATACGTGTGTGTATATATATATAATCTTTTTAAAGGAACCTATGCAATAAATAGTATAGAATAAAATAATCATACCTCTCCACTAGTGGTAGTCCCGTCCTTATAAATGAGAAGCCAATGCGGCAACTTTCACACTAAACCAAATAATATTTGCATTTTCCAAAAGAAGAAAAAAAAATATGAGCAACCATATCGATTCTACCCCTAAACCGATCCAAACCGAAGAAGAAGGAGAAACGCGTTTGCGTTCGGAAGCCCTCAAGATCGCAAACGCAGCCGCATTTCCCATGGTTCTGAAAGCGGCCTTCGAGCTCGGTGTCATTGACGCACTCTGGGCGGCCGGTGAAGACGCGTGGCTCTCACCCTCCGAGATAGCGAGTGGGCTACGCACGAGACCCACCAATCCACATGCACCGTCGCTGTTGGACCGGATGCTTCGGGTGCTTACAAGCTACTCGCTCGTCAAGTGCCGCACCGATCTGACCGGCGAAAACGGTCGAACAGGAAGAACCGGGAGGGTTTACGCAGCCGAACCGGTTTGCCGGTTCTTTCTGAACGGTGGTGATGGTGACTCGGGTTCCTTCGTCTCATTGGCCATGGTGCTCCATAGCGATGTCATGTTGAAGTCTTGGTAACATTGTTCTTGAAACCTTGTTTCTTGTTAATAAAATTCTTGAAAATTCAATCTTTAAGCAAACAAAAATAAACATTTTATAGAAAGAACTAACACCATTTGCTTTTTTTTTTTCAAAGGCAGCATCTGAAGGATATAATACAAGAGGAAGGAAGAGATGCATTCAGCTCAGCTCATGGAGTGAGACTGTTCGAGTACATAGGGGCGGACGAGAGGTTCGGCCGACTGTTCAACCGGGCAATGTCGGAATCCACAGTCACGATCCTGAAGAAGGTTCTAGAAGTTTACCGCGGTTTCGAAGATTTGAGCGTTTTGGTCGATGTGGGAGGAGGACATGGCACCCTTTTGGGCATGGTCACTTCGAAATACCCCAAGATCAACGGTATTAATTTCGATTTAGCCGGTGTTCTAGCCCATGCTCCCTCCTATCCCGGTATGAATCATTTACTATTGAGATATAATAATAAATCTTTAATTTGTGGTTATAATCTCAATATTAACTATATGGTAATAGTTAATGCATATAATGAATCATTTGCAAGCTGTGTTTAAAACCGGATGCCATGGTTGCAGGGGTTGAGCATGTGGTCGGTGATATGTTTGTTGATGTTCCAAAAGGAGATGCCATTTTGATGAAGGTACGTTTGTTTTACCTATCGATTTTGTCCATAAACCAAATCAGAATCTATAACCCATTTAGATTCATAAAATCATATTCAAAACTTATTGTTTGATCCGATTTTATGAACAAAATGACAGTGGATATTGTATGATACATAAACTTGGATAGTCAACCGGTAAAACGTGGTACAAAACACGTTTTGAGTTCGAATTTCAAATTTGGAGATGGGGCGTATATTCCAAATATATATGGTTGACCCCTGGTTTCGGGATTAGTTTGGTGTATTGGTGCAGTATATTCATTTGTTGAGTATGATAAATGTGGGATTTTGATGAATAAATGGCAGTGGATACTCCACGATTGGACAGACGAAAAGTGTGTGAAGATCCTGAAAAACTGTTGGAGAGCATTGCCGGAAAAGGGCAAGGTGATTCTGATAGAGATGGTGACTCCGGAGGAGCCGAGGGGTGGGGATGTCCGCTCCAACATCACCTTCGACTTCGACATGTTGATGCTCTCCCAATGTTCCGGCGGTAAAGAAAGGACAAAGGCCGAGTTCCAAGACCTAGCCCTCGCTTCTGGTTTCACCCGCTGCCATTTCATGTCTTGTGCTTCTCCTTATTGGGTTATTGAATTTCACAAAGCAGAAGCAACCCCTTGAAAAAAATTTATATATTATAATATTAATGAGCACTGTTTTTTTTGTAAAATGGCCATTTCAAGGTTTGGCTTGTTTATTTTGGGCTTGGATTTGATTTGCTTTGTTGTATCCGTTTGTTTTTTTTTTTAATGATTTTTATATTTGATTCCGTTTGGTTTTTGTTTGTGTTCGGTTCTGATTTATTTTCCTAATAATTTTTCGATTTTTTTATTATTTTTATAATCAAATTGATATATATGTGAAATTCGTTTTTGATTGGTCTTGTAAAATGGGAATGACAATCTCTAACAAATCATCTTATATATAATTGTATCAGTACGATTGATAGCGATTATAAATGATTAGTACTGACTGGTTGAAAAGTTGTTGTTGGTACCGATTGCGCGTGGGTGCAGTTAGAAGTGAATGGTTTATTACGATTGCGGTTGCGTTTTGATATAAATTGTCAAAAAAAATATTATTTAAAAATAATTTTTTATAATAATTTTAATTAATTAATGTTTTATATAATTTCTAATAAAAATATTTTAGTTTTTTTGTCAAAACGCCGGAAACCGCTACCAAAACGCAAGTTGGAAGCTGCGATTAGAAAACACAAGTTTGGTTGCGGTTGCGGTTGGTTGCGATTCAACCAGTCAGTTTTTCAATCGTCCGCAACCGCCGGAAATCGCAACCGCTCTATTTGCGGGTGGCGGCAGTGCAACAAGTCGGCCCCTAATTGACACAAAGATTGCTTAATCATTTTGGTTAGAAAATTGAGGATCAGATTCACGAATTATTGTGAGAAAGTATAATAAAATTCACACACTCAAAGCTTCTGCTTTGTATATTTATTTATGCCGACCTTAAGATGAAAAGTACGATAAAATAATAACTGAGTATATAAATAAAATAAAAATAAAATAAAATCTCTGGTCTCTGGCTCTCTGCCTCGTCCCTGTATACCGCCCCAATTTCCCGGGGAACGAGTTTCTGGAATTTCCGTGCAAGGAGAAATCTTCTCGTAGCTTTCCATGGCCTCAGGTACTGGGAAATATGTACAGAATCATCTATTGCGCTTCTCATACCTAATTATTTCCGATTTCTGCTGACTGATCTCTGGCGTCGGTACGAATCGTTTCAGTTTTTCATGTTTATAATTCGAGGAATTGGATCGGTGTTCATGTGGGTTTGCTTGAAACCGACGAACTATGCTGTAAATTTGATGCCTTGATGCGAATTTACTCTGAGGGTTTCTCCGTTAGTGAGCGATACATTAGAAAACTCGTTTCGTTGCGGTGAAATTGGATAGAGGGGATTGATTGCTTTATGTGGGTTTTGTTTTTCTTCTATTTGGTGCTGTGAAATGGAAGGTTTTGGATATTTCACTGACTGCGTATGGAGAAGATGATAATGATGGAATGGAAATGGCAACTACTCAATGATTTCACTGATGTGTTTATTGTATCACAGATGGTCTCACTGTACCATCTGAGCTTGAATCGGCATTGCGGCTGAAGACAGTGAAATACTTCATTACAAAGAGGCCTTGGCTTGGTAATCCATGCGTTAACCATCTTTGGACTCCTGATTTTGTATTGGTGTTTTCTATGTCGAATAGATTTAAAGATGGGTTTTGAATTTTACTTATTCTAGATCTCTATGGAGTCCATGTGAGGCCAGTTGCTCCACAAGGAAGCTCAAGCAGTAAACCCCATTTCGATCCTGCACTAATTCATCGTTGCTTGCCCGATGAGCTTCTTTTTGAGGTTTGATCTGCTTATTTGTTAATCTTTTAGCTGGTACTTAATTTTTGTAGTTTGACTTGAGCATTAGGGTGATACAGTTTATGTGTGTGATATCATGTTTTGGTGGAGATATGTTTCTATTTTATTTAGTTTTGGGGTATATAGTGAAGATCTATGTCTTTACCATATGATCATAATTAACTCTCATGAGTATTTATACTTGTAGGTATTTGCTCGGATGACACCATATGACCTAGGAAAAGCATCTTGTGTATGCCGGAAATGGAGGTTCACAGTTCGGAACCCCGTGTTCTGGCGTAACGCTTGCCTGAGAGCTTGGCAGTCTGTTGGGGTGATTGAAAATTATAGGATCTTGCAGTCTAAGTATGATGGATCATGGAGGAAAATGTGGCTTTTAAGGCCAAGAGTTCGTACTGATGGTGAGATTTTGTCTTCTGCTCCGGGAAGTTCTAGTTCCTCGTTCTTCTTGTTGTGGTTTTTCTCCGTCTTCATAGCAAATCTAGTTTACATCTCTCGTCATCTGAGTCTCTCTTCCTCCACTCATTGGAGTAAAAACGAGAAAATACAATGTGATTTCTAAGAAGCTTGTCACTGATATGCATTTCTTGAACGAATCCGTCTATTTTCCCTGGTTCTTAATTCAAGACTTTTAGAGCGGAGGCTTGAAGATGTTTTAACTTCTGTTTTCAGGTCTTTATGTGAGTAGAAATACTTACATTCGAGCTGGAGTTGCTGAGTGGAAGATTACAAATCCAGTTCACATAGTACAGTTCTAAGTCTCTATCTTAAGCTTTATATTCTCCGTTAGTTTCTTTTCTTTTGCCTATTTTTTTTGTTCGCGAGTCTAACTAATAGTTCTCTTCTTTTCGATTGCAGGTTTGTTACTTCCGGTACATAAGATTCTATCCCTCTGGGAAATTTCTGTACAAGGTTTGCACATCACGGTCAAAATGGTTTATACATCGGATTGACAGGCCGATAATCTATCTGAATTCCTGTTATGATGTTATTTAATCTCCAGAACTCTTCCCAAAAAGTGAAGGAGGTTGCCAAATTCATGAACCATAAGGCGGCTTCTAAAGCAGACTGTGTTTTCAAAGGCCATTATACATTGTCAGATGACAAGGTTAGTTGATCAGAGAGCATAATATCTTAATGTCTTGAGACTGTTGAAACGTATTCTTGTTGCAGATTGAAGCTGCTGTTCTGTACCCGGGTTTGCGCCCTACGGTTTTAAGAATCCGCCTAAGGTAATAATAATTCCTTAAACATTGTATTAGATATTATAGAACATGAAAAAAGAACCCATCTAGGCATAGATCCTCGGTGTTGTTACTAAGATTTGTTCTCTTTTCTCCATTTTCTTGGTTTAACTTGAGGTAGATATAACTGTACGGGGTGGGCAAGGGACGGATATTCGGATTATTTGAATTCGAACCCAAATCTTTCGGATCTCACGAGATATTATCCAATCTCGAATCCGTTTTGGTCGCGCATTTAAAAGTTGGATACTGAGATAATTTTCGAGTACCTACGGATATTTGAACCCAAGTTTAAATGCCAACTTTCAAAATTTTCAAAAATTCAAAATAAATACTATATATTAGGAGTTAGACTCGGGTCGTGTATTTGAGATTTTCGAGTTACCTAAACCCGAACTTAAAATTTTAAGAAAGTTTATGTATATCTCTAACACCTAAGAGCGAAAATGTCAGTTCTTTATTTGCTATCCACGGCAATACCTGATCTTGGACTCAATCACCCGAACCTCAACTTGATTTTTGGGTTTTTCCTCATGCTATCGAACTCATCTCATATAGTTCTTGGATACCCGAAATTCGGGTTTTTTTGCCCAGCCATATGCTTCCTTTGTTCATCGGGTAAAATCATAGATAAAGAGTATCTATCTCAACTCAATGCATAAGCCAAAGAAGAAGTTAACTATATAAGCAATTCCTACACAAACACACACACACAAAAATAAGATGCCATAACTTAACTTCAAGCTATGATTATTCTGCATTATGTTTCTGAAATGATGCATTTGGCGAATACTCTCTGTAGGTTACGAGGAACGGTGACAGGGGCAAACAACCGGATGGATCTGCTCTCGCTCGTAACGAGCGGAGTGAACGACGAGGAAGTGAACAGTACAGAGGAAGATATCCTTGGAGTGGTTGAAGGTTGGGGAGATGATGAAAGCCATAACCCAGATGTACCTGCAGTCTCGCACAAGAGAGGTTTAACTCCATTTGTCTTCGTCCCCTTTGACGAGGCAAGTAAAATATTACCCGATTTCGCTCGGTTATTACTGGTTTAGGGTTTTGAATCGTTTGATCTGATATGTATATTTCTTGGATTCAGGTGGAGAAATCGGTTTTGAACTTACCAGTGGAGAAGATGGATTACTTTGTGCCTGGCTAAGTGCAAAAGATGGCATAAGATCAAAAGGGGGAAACTTTCTGTACAAAATGTATAAATGTGGTTCTTGGATTATTAGGACATATGATGATTGATGTTATTGCACTGCCAACTGTTTTGTCAGGATACACTTTGGTACTACTCTGCTATTGTACCGTCTTGGAATAATTCATCATCTGAGGTTTCTTGTAGAACAAGTAAAAGACCGGTCTCCTGTCCATACTCTGGATTTAAGATCCTTGGAATGCACCAGATGGTTCCCTTGTCTGGTCGTCAACGATTGGTATTGATGTGGTCTTGCAAATCTTTGGGCTTAAGGCCTGTTTAGTATTAGGCTCTCAATTGGAGCATTATCGAAAATACCCCGACTTTCTTGTTGGGCCTAACTTCAATTCGAAGACAATGGAAAAAAACTGATTTTTTTTTAATTTTTGTTTTTGACATGGTTTAGCATTCCGATTCACGTGTAAATAACTTCAAAGCCGTTATTTAACTGTCGTTACGGCAATATGGTGTCAACAAATGCCGGCGTTCATAAAGTTTTGAACTTTTTGCTTCTCCATAGAATCAGAACTTCAGATTTCGTCTGTTCTCAACGCTAAAACTCAAAGGTTATGTTGCTTTCCTGCGAGAGAAGACCATAAGATGAAACCCAAGAAAAACTCGGACAAGAAAATGAAACATGAAGAGAGTAAAAGATCTGAATCCTCCTTAATGTACAAAAAAAAAAGGTTTTTGTTTATTCCTCGAACTTGACTTGAAAAGAGTAACAAGCCGAACACGAACAAATTCTGGTGGTAAAACAACATGTCTGGACGACAGGGAATGCGATAGACAAACTGATTGGCTCATCAGTCAGCTCGGGACTGCCCAGCTCGGGATGAGAGGATGATACCAATGATGAGGCCGTATAGAGCAAGAGCCTCGGCAAAGATCAGAATGAGAATCATTCCCACAAAGAGCTTTGGTTGCTGAGCATTTGCCCTGACACAGACACAAAATTCATACCGAAAACAACAGTTGGTGAGTATGAATCTGGTAACGCTAACTAATCAGTTAAATATGATCCGTCAGTATCATTTCAACTCTAAAAACTAATGCCCGGGTCATACTGATACACATCTCTTTGAATCTACAAGACCAAGGTCTGGTTTCTTGGTCATGACCAGAGGTTTAGTGTAAAGCACACCAACGCTAATATTAAGTTCTCCAAAACTAGATTGAACAAGCTAGAAAACACAGTACTGCATAATATAAAACAGAACATCGTAGTAAGTCAGTTTTAGAACAAATCTAGAAGGTGAAACAAAGTGAAATCCACCAACTCTGAGATCACACCTCGCAACCTCCAAAATCCAGAAGTTAGAGCTAACTTTTTAGGTTTTTGATAAAAATGTAGAAGTAATTCTTAAATGCGAGCACTTTTCGTCTCTAGAGATACTGCCCTCGTAGCAACGTGCAAGAGTATCAAGGCCACTAGAAGCATATCTCTCTAATCATGTCCTAATATCACTTGTCCTTGAAGATATCCAATTATTTACTTGGACAAATAACGAAACAAAAGATGTCTGAAAAAGGGATTCTCAAACATTCATCCTAGTATCAAAAACTATCTATTAATGTAGGAAAAAAAGAAACAAAACCTAATAAGGATACTGAAGAGGAAGTTACCTGACACCAGCATCACCAACGATCCCAATAGCCATTCCGGCAGAAAGGCCAGCGAGTCCACAAGCAAGACCTGACGACAAGTGTGCATAACCGTCAAAGAGATAGTATGATTTGGCTTTCGGGTTGATCCCGGTACTGATGATAACGGCTATAATCAACCCGTAAATCCCCAAAACTCCAGCCATAACCACTGGAACGATCGATTTCATGACAAGCTCGGGCCTCATCACACCCATGGATGCCACACCAACCCCACTCTTAGCCGTGCCATATGCAGCACCCATGCCTGCACCAGCAGAATACACTCAGAATCACACACACAAATATCATGCCCACCCCTTATTTCAGAAAATCACATTACCCATAACGCATAATTCAGCAGAACATATACACATAATCAATCCATTATAGTTGCAAATACAGAGAAGGTTCAAGGAAACCATTTATCATCCATTTCATAGCACAGCTATTACGAATGATATCCTCAAGCCTCTCGATTTATCTATTTAACCTATTCCATCGAAGTACCGGAAGCATTTTGCATACTCATCCGAGATTATCATAATTGTTTCAGATTGCAAATTGCAACATACCCTTATTCAGTTCCCGAACAACAAAGCAAACCCAGATCAACAACAATCCGACATCTCGGATAATTCACCTAAGCGGACTAAGAAAAAACACTAGATTTGCTTCAGACATAACCGGAAAAGAGTAAGAGAAAAATGATCGAACATTACATGAGAAGACGAGAGCGGCGGCTGCTCCGAGGAAGCCGAAGAAAGGAGCAGTCTCGTCGCCGCTGAAAACCGAAGCCATGGCGCTTGTAACTCCTTGTTTGGATGCGAGGATATTCGAAACGGTGATGGAATAACGTTATCCTTGGCCTGGATATGATCTCTGTTTTTTCTTCCAAGCTTGATCGGATCCGAGAAACGACTCGATGAAGATGGAGAGGACCACCTGCTGATTCATGATCATTGATAAATACGGTTCTAATTTGACGAAAATACCCCCGATGTTTCAACTTGGTTCAATTGTAATTACCGTTAACCGCAGGGGCATAAGTATACCCAAATGGGTCGGGTTTTGAAATTGGGCCTAACCTGAGTGTGGGCTGAGGCCCATTAGGAAGTTACCATATTTGGAGAACAGAGTCGAAGGATAAAAGGTAAATTAGTGTTTTTTTCTTCCTGAAGTATCTTCGCTGTATGAATTGCATAACGTAAGAGCAGCTTAGCCAAGGGGAAAAAATCTTGGCTTTTCCCTTTCTTCCTTCCGATCTCTCTCGCTCCGCTGATTCCTCTCAATTCCGATCCCAAAAACCCTAATTTATTTCACAAAACCCTAACCTGGTTATCAAGATTGTCCAGATCTGATATTTTCGGTGTTCTTGCGTTTCGAATTTACAGATCCAGGCCTTCTTTGGTTTCAGGTAATGCGATTTCATGTTTTGTTGATTCTAATCCTTTTCTTTCTCTTCTTTTGATTGATCAGGGACTGATCGGAAAGTATTTTATCTATACGCGCAAGGATCGTTTTTTTTTTCCTTTTTTTTAATAGTTGCATTTGCTGATGTTGATAATTGGCTGAACTTTTCTTATTGAATTGGTAGATTTGTTGGTACTGCACGGGGGATTTCTTGATTGTTGCGAAAGGTTTAGAATTTGATTTCGGTTTGTTATCAAGCATGGCTGCTCCTGTGCCTCCAGGGGCACCTAGACCCAACACTCAGCGAGCACCTCCTCCGAATTACTTCCCCGGTTCACAAGGGAACCCTAATCCCAATGCGATAGCCGATAATATGCAGAACTTAAGCATTAACCGGCCTCCTCCTCCGATGCCTGGTTCAGGTCCTAGACCACCTCCCCCTTTTGCCCCATCTCCGCAACCTTTTCCTCAGCAAGGCCCTTCCTTTGGCGGGCCTACTCCAATGGCTCGGCCTGGTCCACCTCCCCCTGCATTGGCTAGACAAGGTGGGCAACCTCCCATGTCCCAACCCGGGTTACCTTCGAATGCACCATTGGGTAGACCCATTGCTCCGCCTGTTAGTCAGGCGCCATTTGGTGCCAGACCATTTGGTGGGCCTGGTGCACCCCCTCCAGTTCCTTCGGGTGGTTTCCCAGTTTCTGGTCCACTGGGCGGTGTAGCTGCAGCTCCTCCTCTGGGAGCTCGCCTGAATGCTTTTGGTTCACCTCCACCTGTGGCATCTGGTATGTCTGTGCCTCCTCCCTCAGGCATGCCTGGCGGTCCAGTCAGTAATGGGCCTCCAATGGTGGGTACTGGGTCATTTCCCAGGGGACCCAATTACCCTCCTGCTGGCGCTACTCCACAAGCACCCTATTCACAGCCTCCTACAGCACCTTTTGTTCGGGGTCCTCCACAGACCCCCAGTTCACCACTAACTGCACCTCCTGGTCCTTCAATGCCTCCACCAGCAACGTTTCCTGGGGCACCTCATAGCAGGCCAGCTGTATCTGCTTTACCGTATGGTATGCCACCTCAGCAGGTATATACATGAAAATATTTGTTATCGTTGATATTTTTACTGGTGTTGATGTAATTTTTGGTATGAAGAAATATCTGTGCGGTTATTGGAAAACAAATGTTGAACTGGATGTATCCATGAATCATTTTAGATGGGAAATGTACTGATTGATTCAAGATACTCTCTCCTTAATTATGATGTGTATAAAATAGAACTGGCTTTGAAGGATTCTACGTTGTAATGATGATGAAAACATTTAGTAAACCTAATGTCAAAGAAGTAGTTCATACTTCATAGGTATTTACTTGAGCATGTGATGCTTTGAAAACTAATGATGGTCAGGATTTGGTTGATATAGTTCATGTGCATGGTGCATTCTGAAGGATTCTACATTGTAATAAGAATATTTTCACTAGATATAGTTTGTGTGCATGGTGCACTCTGATTGTCTTGAAACTTGAATATTGGTAGGTCGTTCCTCCTCCTGCTGTTTCTGGTTCAGTGCCACCTTCAATGATATATGGTATGGGTCCATTGCCGAATCAGTCGATGACCACTATACCCTCGGCAATGGGTCAACCTGGAACATCTCTCCCTGGTCCTTCAAAGATTGATCCTAATCAGATCCCAAGGCCCGGTTCAAGCAGCAGTCCTATCATCTATGAAACTCGCCAGGGAAATCAGGCTAATCCTCCCCCGGTATGCATGTCTTACTAGAAAACACAGATGTTGGACGGTGCTCGTAAAAGCTAGATATTATGTGGATGATTTTAAAATTTTCTGTTTTTTTGCTCTGAATTTGTCCGCCCTTTCTTTTGAAGCCTGCTACTAGTGATTACATTGCTAGGGACACTGGAAACTGCAGCCCACGGTACATGCGGTGTACAATCAATCAGGTAACAGCAAAGCGTATAAATCATTGAGTTTCTCTGCATTCCAGTTTTGTGACTGTGTTCTTTAATCCTCAGGATCTTGATTCCACTTTTTTGCTGTTTGTCATAATAGATCCCTTGTACAGTTGATCTTCTGTCTACTTCTGGAATGCAACTGGCGTTGACTGTTCAACCGCTGGCACTTCCTCATCCTTCAGAAGAGCCTATCCAAGTAATACACAAAAGCTTCTCTGGCTGGCTTTTCTAATTTATTCATGCTTCTAGGAAGTTGGTCTTTAAACTATTGACTTGTTGTATTTAGTTTCCCCTCTTCGTTTGTCTTGTGTATCATATAATACTAAGTGCTTCGTAGTATTAAGGCGAAGTATAGAACTTTACGGTTGGAAGGAAGATTCAGCATTCGTTTGACATCTTAGAGGGAAACCAATTCTTGGTATTGGGAACTTTGTTTGATTGTGCAGGTTGTGGATTTCGGTGAAAGTGGTCCTGTTCGGTGTTCTCGTTGCAAGGGCTACATAAATCCTTTCATGAAGTTCATTGATCAAGGAAGGAAGTTCATCTGTAACTTATGTGGTAAATGTTACTGTTAACAAAAATCGTAGATAACAGTCTTTGCTACACAACTGCAAGCAACTAACTTTAGTATCAACTTATCAAACTATCAAATAACTTCATTTTTTTTATATCAGAAATAGAGTTTCTATGGTTACCCCCCGAAATGCATTACATCTTATGTGAATCCACATTCACCTTGAAAAGATGGTCAACATACAGCTGCTGATATGATTTGCTCAAAAGATTTGCTTCTGTATAGTTTGCTATTGTTGTAATTAAATATGATAAATTTTATATTCTGGCAACCTTAAAATTGATAAAGTGTCTCTTGTGTACTAAATAAAACATTTGCACGAGTAGGCTGTTTTTAGGTTAAGTTGAGGATTCGAGTAGGAATTGTAGTAATTTCAGCGACTGTTTAGGTCTGCAACATTCCCTTTTCTTCCTCGCTATTATTTTTACTGGATCTGATTATACTTTTGAACCGTGCGATATGTGTTCTGGTCTGTCTTCTCAAGTTCTGTCTTCTTCTCAGGATATACGGATGAGACTCCCCGCGATTACCATTGTAATCTGGGTCCTGATGGTAGACGCAGGGATGCTGATGAAAGGCCTGAGCTGTGTAGAGGAACTGTTGAGTTTGTTGCTACAAAAGAATACATGGTTAGTGGTGAAGTCCGTGGTTTTCCTTGAGAAATTGGCAGTATTGTTTTTTGGAATCTAGTAAGACCTACCAATTTATTAACCAAGTGTTTACTACACATATGGTGCCTTGTTTAGAATAGGGGGGGGGATTATGGTGGTAAATGTATTTTCTCTATTCTTTTTGGTGACACCTCTTACACTTGTTGATCCAGCGATTCCAGATGAAAAATTTAGTTAGAATGGGAGATTATATTCTTGTGGCATGCTGAGCGACTTTTTTTTGGTTAGTAGAATGGGACATAGTTTTTGAAGAGGTACATGTTGAAGGAACAGAGATTAATATTCATACTTTTCAAACAGGTACGGGATCCGATGCCAAATGTGTATTTCTTCCTCATTGATGTCTCTATGAATGCGATTCAAACAGGTGCAACTGCCGCTGCTTGCAGTGCAATCCAGCAAGTCCTTTCAGACCTCCCTGTAAGCTTAATTGTTATTTAAAATATTGAATATCGAATACATATCTTTATGTGACAAACAATATGTGTCTTGAGTTGAGAATATTTTAGTTATGCCTAATAGACCGTTCTGACTTTTGTCATTTTCCACAGAAGTTTGAAAATCTCCTGTGGTTATGGAGAATTCTACTCTTTTGCTTCTTATTTTGTATCCTCGTATATTTTTTAGCAAATTTGTCTATATATATTTGCAGGAAGGCCCCAGAACATTTGTTGGAATTGCGACATTTGACTCAACTATCCACTTCTATAATTTGAAACGTGCACTGCAACAAGTAACTTCTTACATTATCCATTCCATTCCATTCCCTTCTTTTGCTTTGCTCAAATATTTTATGACAAAGCGATGGGGTTTGTTGATTTTCCTGCCCTTGGATATCATTGTTTTAAAAAGGCTTCATTTTGCTTCAAGTAATTGTTCTGTGTAACTGAGGTCCATTGTGAACATTGTTATAGTTTTACCTCACGTCAGGTGAAGAAAGTAGAGATTAACTGGTGTATTAGTCCTAAGAAACCATTTCATCAAACACTTTTTATTATTGAAATTGTTCAATGTTGAGGGTTGGCCATGGGTGATGCGCGCTGTTTCTTTCTCGGGAGGCTTGATATTGTGTAACTGATAGCTGTTGCTTGTATGCAGCCGCTGATGCTCATTGTTCCTGATGTGCAAGATGTTTACACACCCCTAGAAACTGATGTTGTTGTTCAGCTTTCCGAGGTTAGCTGTGGGCCAATTATTTTCTTATTTAATTTATTTCTATGTTGATTATTTTTCCAATTATAGTATCAGCTGGTTACTTGACTGATTTTGGCTAACCCATTTTCTTTCTCATTGTTAACGTTTCTTTATTCCTTTGGGATTCCAGTGTCGTCAGCATTTAGAGCTTTTGTTGGAAAGCATCCCAACCATGTTTCAGGAGAGTAAGGCTCCTGAATCAGCTTTTGGTGCAGCAGTTAAGGTATGTGCTCTGCACAAATGATCAATAATAGAAGTTGGATACTGTTGATGATGACCTTGCTTTTATGTGCCCACTCTGTGCTTATCAGCTCCCATGTGATAAATGAGTTTCTGGCAAAATGATGAAAGATTAGTTGTACTATTCCGTATGTTATTGATTCTTGTCCAATCCTTTCTCCTAGGCTGCTTTCTTGGCGATGAAGAGCACTGGAGGAAAACTAATGGTGTTTCAGTCAGGTGCTTGTCTGCCAAATCGATTTAAAGCCATGTGTGCATCCTAAGCATGCTCTCTTTTTTTTCTCCTACTACATAACTGAACTATTTGTTTAACCATTTTGTGGACAGTTTTGCCTTCAGTTGGTTTGGGAGCGCTTTCTTCTAGAGAGGCTGAAGGGAGAGCCAATGTCTCTGCAGGTGAAAAGGTAAGACCACACTTTCTTGTTTCCACTAATGCATTTTAATCTCTGTCAACATTTCCCTGTGATCTACATTTTTTTCTATCTTCCGTCTCTCTTTAATTGTTTCATATTAGGACTTGATCAGCTTTAGGTTCAGGTGTGGATATATTTGGTTGCTAAAAGCGAATTCCTCCTTCAATTTGATTTCAGGAAGCCCATAAATTACTACAACCAGCAGACAAGACTCTAAAGACCATGGCTATTGAATTTGCTGAATACCAGGTAGATCAAACAGCTTGATATTTGAAATTTATCAGATTGCTTTCCTTCATATTTATCAGTAGTCTACGGTGTATCAGCTTCTTTCACTTGTGAATCTAATGTGTTACATTATACCTCAGGTCTGTGTAGATATATTTATTACAACTCAGACCTACATTGACATTGCATCAATTTCTGTCATCCCGAGGACTACTGGAGGACAGGTACCTATCAGAATTGAATCCTTGTTTCCATTAATTCTGATCGATAAATTCTATTTCATATAGCGACTCATTTCTTGCTAAAACAGTGTTAATTCACTGTCTGTGTATTTCTAGAAGCCCCTGCTTTTAATTTGGTCACGGGACCCATCTTTAGTTTTACCCTTGCACATTTTAAGCATAACGAAAGATGGTCCATGAAATTTTTGCCTACTCGATGCATCTTTCTCAGGATTGTTTTACCATCTACGTTTTATATATTCTCTGTCTAGGATATTTTTAAAATGCGTATATTTCATTCTAAAATTTTCTCCCTTCCAGGTTTATTACTATTACCCATTTTCAGCTCTCTCTGATCCTCCCAAGCTTTACAACGATCTTAGATGGAATATCACTAGGCCACAGGGTTTTGAGGCTGTCATGCGTGTCAGATGCAGCCAGGTAATGGTTTTCGGCAGAACTGATTGTTCACGCATCATTACTCTGTAAAATTCAGCTTAGATTAGTGTGCTAAATACCACTGTTACTTTTAGGGTATTCAAGTGCAAGATTACTCAGGGAACTTCTGCAAACGCATTCCAACTGACATCGACCTACCTGCGGTGGGTGCACTCTTTTCTGGAAAACTTTCTCTTTTGTTTTTCAGTAACGTGTTTTTCTGTGAGTTGTGCTGGTTGCTGTGGATTTCTTCTATTGATAGTAGTAAAAAGTTAAACTATTTGCATTGTCATTGAATAGCACTATTTAGTTGGTAGGGAAACACAGAATCCCTTTGCCACAAGCAATATGGTATAAAGTTATTTCAGTTTTAACAAACACTGCGTGCGGTGCAGATTGATTGTGACAAAGCTATAATGGTGACGTTAAAGCACGACGACAAACTTCAAGATGGTACTGAATGTGCTTTCCAGGTATATTTATTTTATTGGTCATATCATATCAATCTACCATATGAAGTTATTTTCAGTCGACCCAGTTTTTGTTAACTGTTTGTATCGATTCTCAATTGGGTAAAAAAAACGCTTATATTTTTTTCTGTTGTTTCTAGTGCGCCCTTCTTTACACCACCATATATGGAGAAAGAAGAATCAGAGTCACTACTTTATCCCTCCCTTGTACAAACATGCTTAGTAACCTATTCCGCTCAGCTGACCTAGATTCTCAATTTGCCTGTATGCTAAAGCAAGGTGTGCAGCTATTTCCTTTCATTGATTTTACTGCTAACAATGTACACGTTAATATGCTCCTATGTTATATAATATTTTCTATTATAAGATTTACATAAAGTTAGCATTTGATATATCTACTACTTGTGATCTTTATGCAGCTGCTGGTGAAATCCCTTCAAAGGCACTTCCATTAGTAAAGGACCAGGTGATTAATGCCTGCGTCAACACGCTTTATTCCTACCGTAAATTCTGTGCCACAGTCACATCATCTGGACAACTTATTCTTCCTGAGGCGCTCAAGCTTTTGCCTTTATATGCTCTAGGTATTTCGGGTTACATTTACTGTGCAAGTGGGATGAAACTATACCATTTTCATGTTACAGCTTAGGAGTTGTAAGGAAGTATTTTGTGATCCGATTCTATTTTCCTTCTATTCGGGGTTTCTTTCAGCATTAACCAAAAGTGTGGGGTTACGAACTGACGGGAGAATTGATGATCGCTCATTCTGGATCAACTATGTGTCTTCCCTCTCAACTCCTCTGGCAATTCCACTGGTTTACCCCAGAATGATTGCTGTTCATGATCTTGATGCTAAGGTATGGAGTCATTTTAACTGTCAGATGTCTTTCAAGTCCTTATATATGCTTTGGACAGTTCTGATGATTGTTGTTTTATCTCTTAGGATAATGAAGGATCTGTCCTTCCTCCTCCAATTCCATTGTCAAGTGAACACATTAGCAATGAGGGAGTCTATTTCCTTGAGAACGGTGAAGATGGTTTAATATATGTTGGAGACTCGGTAAACTCAGATATACTGCAGAAGCTCTTTGGTGTTCCCTCAGTTGCTGAAATTCCTAGCCAGGTAATTCTGATTTCCTACTCGGTAAGCTTATGAATTTTTCTCTGAGGAATAAGACGCACAAAAGTGTGTTTTTCTATTCGAATTTGGGATCCTTTTGCATGAAGTGATTGTTGGTTTATAGTTCTCTAGAGTTAGGGCCATTTTCTTGATTTGTCATTTAAAGAAACATCTTGTGAAACCTTAAAGTTACAATTTGCTCCACCTCTTTCTCTCTCCCCCACAGCAACTCTAATCATGGAGGAAATGATTGTGGGCTTATATTTACTCATCATACTATCAGAATTGTGAAGCAGGGAAATATATTTATATTTTTTTAACACAGGAAAACCTGTTAAACAGGACCTGTTTTGCTTTTTCATTTCACATCATGCCCTTTTCTGTTCACAGTATGTGCTGCAACTATACGACAATCCATTATCGAAGAAGTTCAATGATGTGGTGAATGAAATAAGGAGACAAAGATGTTCATACCTACGGTATTTAAATGAAACTTTGTTTCTTATTCTATTTTTCTCCTCACTTGATGTTTTCTCTTTCTTAATTTCCTCTTTGTTCTCTCGGTGCAGCCTGAAATTATGCAAGAATGGTGATCCATCAGGTAAGTGATTCATGAAAAGTTTAATGTACAAAGTTTAGTTATGGCGTGATGTAGTTAGCTGGGTGTTCTATAGTTTAATGTGGTTTGTACCATCTCCGGTACTATCCAAGGCAACATTTCCATATTGTAACCACTCTAGGGCAAAAACAGTAAACCTTGTATCGATTCATTAGTCTTTTGATGGCTCATCTCCACTAGCATAGACTATAATCCTAATGTCAAATTAAATAACTTTAGTCCTCACAGAAACATTGTATTGATTCAATGCCTATTATTATTGTTGTGATATTGAATCTTCGTGCATTCTGTTTCTGTACTGTCAGGAATGCTGTTCTTAACATACATGGTCGAGGACAGAACAGCAAGTGGCTCCTCGTACGTGGAGTTTCTCGTTCAAGTCCACCGCCAAATCCAGCTCAAGATGAACTGACACACCCAAAACTGAAACAGATCTCTGATCTCCCTCTCCTCTGTTTCTTGTCTTTTAAAATCTTTAGTAGAGTGAAGTGAAAGAGCATAGCAAGGGGAAAAAAAGGAAGAACAAATCATCTTCCTTTGTTCATACTCTTCCGCCGGGAATCTTCAAATGGGGACGCTTTTTTATTTTCATATAAATCATATATGATTCATTGTGCTCAATGTTACAAGTTCTTGGTTCCTGTATGTGTGCTTGGAGAAGAGGAGAGAGAGCAGAGACCTGGAAGTCAGGAGATTTTTGTTTTTTTGTTTTTTTGTTTTTGGTGGCTCAGCTATAAATATACAGAGAGAGTCTTGGAAGCCTTTATCAGACTTAGAAGGATATTTTTTTCTGCTTTCTCCTCCTTTTTGGTCTCCTCTGAGAACATCCATTTTTTGTAATGTTCAGACATTGTATGTGTTTCTGTTTCTGTTTCAGCTTGCAATAAGGAGACTTTTCATTTCATTTCTTCAGGTTTGGTAACACATTCGAATCTGTTGCTGTATACACAGTGTTTGTCAATCCTGAAAATTCAAGTTTTGAGGTTCAGGAATCCGAATTGTCGCCGAGAGTAAGAGTGTAAAGCTGCTCAAGAACTGGATTATGGGAGTGTCAAACAAGCAAGCTGAACCTAAAAGAGAATATCCAAAGCAACCCTATCGTAAAAAATATTTGCAGGACAGTTGTTTTCCAATTACTACTACTCAAGAACCTAGAAATCTTGAAAACTCGCTGAAGTATCAGTTGGGTTATGTCATATCTCCAGATGAATCCCATTCTTACTTCGAGTGAAAAACTTAGCAAACCCATTCCGATTCTTCTCAGAACTCCCTTGGTTCGATGGCACAACAGCCATTGAAGCTGATGGAGAAGATGAAGAACTGCTGGTCCTCAGACTGGTAGACCTCTCCTTAGCGGGTTCCACTGACTCGGTAAGATCTGACTCGGTAGGATTTCTCCTGGAAAATGCCTCGTTCTTGTGTACTGTCCAGCTCTCTGAACCGTTTGCACGATTGTCGGAAACTGCAGGAGAACAAGTAGGTATGCTCGCTGTATCGATGAAGAAATCTTCAAGTGTTGCAAGAGACTGAAGTTGTTTCCCCAACGATGAAATCGTTTTCTGGCACTCGGCCAGTTTCCCTGCAGCTGCAGTTATGTCTTCCTGCACTATATAAAAGCTCGGTGAATAAAGGGTCCTTTCGAAGATCCCAGAAAAAAAAAAAAGGACCAGGAATCTACATGAAATCAATCTTTAGGTGTTCTCAAGTTTTTTCGGGCTTTTACCCAAAAAATGACCAGGAATATATCAAAAGAGTCGATTCGAGTCGGCTATCCAAAATTTTTGGATTACTTAGGATGTTTGTTTGTACATAATACTAGAGGCAAAAATGTCACTTTGCTGTTTATTCGGATGCTCCCAAGTAATATCCGATGCTAGACCCAAATAACCGAACCCAATATAACCGATTTCATCTTACCCGAAATTCGAGTTTTTTTCTTTTTTGTCCAGCCCTAGTGTGTAGAGAGGGTAAACATCACAGAGAATACACATTACAGACTGATCTTCCGATAACGCCTTCTCTTTTCTCACGTCTTCTTCCAAAGATTCGATCTTTTCATAGGTTTTCCGTGATTCTGCTTCCAGGCTGATGAGCTGAGATTCAGCTTTTGATTTTGATTCATTAGCCAAACTCAGCTCCTTTTGTATCTTCTCTAAATCCATCTCAGCTTCTTGAAGAAACGCTTGAGCTTCTCGAAGAAGAACTTGAGATTCTTCGTATTTATCTTTCGTTATATCCCACGATATCTGCATTTCAGCTTTCTCGGCTTCCATCTTCTCCAACTTATCTTCCAACTCCATTTTTTCACAAACCACAGCTTCGAGCTTTGATCGTAACGTGTTCTCCACTTCTTTAGAGCGTGTAACTTCACTTTCGAGCTCAGCTTTTTCTGCTTGCAATTTCTCTAGTTTTTCTTCCACTTCCTTAGTTCGATGAGTCAATACTTCTATTTCTTCTGTTACCGATTCAGGTATATCCTTACGGGTTTCATCCTGTATCTCAGGCAAAGATGCAAGCCTTTCCATTTCAAGGAAATCTTCCATGAGATCTATTTCAACAGAAGAAGTGGGCTGAAGGGATCGATTGACGGGTTTTTCATTCTTGAATTGATCCAACTCAGCGATCAATGCTGATGCCCATGAGTCGGAGCAACTCATGTCGATTCTTTCTCCACCATCTGATTGACCATCTGATGATTTAGACAATACCCGAAGCTTTCGGCATTCAGCTTCAAGCTTTGCCACCTTCTTTATGCTATCTAAATGCTGTTTGCTTGCAGATTCTGCTGCTTGAGTGCTCAAATCTCTCTCAATTGTTCTGATCTCCAGTTCCTCGGTTCTTCCAAGGAGCTCGTGTTTCAGAATCAAGTTCTCCCTCGCTAAAGATTCAATTGTTTGGCTTAGATCCTCAGATTTCGCAGCTTCTGCTTCGTTTTCGAGCTCAACAATCCGACTCTCAAGACGGGTTTTAAGAGATTCAAACTCCCGTGTCCTCTTGGTCACAGCTTCTTGGATTGTCTCTTCTTGTTCATCTCTTGCTTGCCTTAGCTGCCTTACACACTCCTTGAGAGCTCCATCCAGATGGTTTACCCTATCTTCTAATGCGGAGTTCTTATTAGCAGCAGACTCGAGCTTTTTCTTCAGCTCAGCCACTTCGTTTTCAGCTTTCTCCCACCCTTTGAGATTCAAAATGAGGGTATTCCATTAAAGAAAAAAAAAACAAGAAAAACATTATCAAAAAGGTTTTTTTTGAAAAGACTAAAATACCAGCAACAGCTTCTTCTGCAACCTTAGCGTGTTGCTCCACCAGTTCATCTTTTGCACTAACGTTCATGAGAGCTGCTGAAAGTTTCTCGGTCAGTGTCTTAATATCACTATCGTTCACATCTTCATTCTCTGTTTCTACTTTCGGCGAAACCTCAAGTGATTGTATATTGTCATCAGGAGATTCCTTGATACTTTCAGGCTGGTGACAATGACAACACGGAAAATCAATCAGACTTTGAAATGATCTTTAGACACACTTGACGATGTATGAATGTATAGGGCTAAAAAATAACCAACTCACTTGACCATCAGAATCCATCTCTGATAGTGGAGAAACCGAATCAGATGTTTCACTTTCCCCTACAGCTTCTCTCAGAGGAAGATTCTATTCCATTCTATGGCAACTTCTACTTCTCCATTGCCAGTTCCAGGATTCCAGGAGCTTTAATCATTACATCACAAGACAGGATCTGGCAATGATGAAAGACATTCAGTTCTTCAAAACACTGAAACCAAACAGAACATCCCCAAGAATTGAAAGAACAAAAACTGAAAGGTTAACAGAACAGAAGCATGGAACCAATGGATTTCATAGGCAATGAATGTTCTTGCGTTTGGACATTGGCCATTCATACACAACAGGAGCTATAACCTTGAAAACAAGAAACACCCATGAATTTTGTTTTTTGGGGCGAATTCAGAATATATTTTAAAAAAAAACAAGGTAACTTGGCTTGTCAACCTCCCAGCTTTGCTTCAAATCTACTCTCTCATATGCAAGAGCACAATACATGCCATCTTCAGGACCACAAGAACATTTTATCTAAATACACAGGAAAAGACAAAGCTCAAATTTTAAACTCAGCATCAAACTAAATATGCAGGGAAGACAAGAAAACATAAATTCTCCATTCAATTCCTATCTTCTTACATGCCATAAAAGAGAAAAACAATTACAGCTTTTGTTCTTATCATGACCAAGATACCCTTCTTACCTATTTCCTTGCCCTAATGGAAACCCAATTACAGAAAAAGAACAAGAGAATCTGCAAAATCACTTCGAACCCATGACTCGAATCACCGGAAAGGAATCAAAAGCAGCAAGTTTCAATTAAATGGTACAAAATGTGTATCAAAAAATCCAAACTTTGATGCTTAAAACCCAGAAATATAAAATGGAGAATGCAGTATACATTCATACACTAAAAACAGTTCAAATTTGCAGAAAACCACCAAGAAGCCATCGGATAACACACACAATACAACAGTGTGGACAGTCGGGTTGTCTCGTTTAAAGGAACCCAAGGAAAGTAAAATAAACACCCAGAAAAAAAAAAATCAATCTTGTTTTGACCCTCCCCCTAAAAATTAAATGCAAGGAAATTCAGAGAATATTGACGAGAGACCCGCATGAAATACGATACCTTTGTCCGATGTTCGGAGACTGTCCGAAGAACATGAGATCGGGAAATGCTCCAAAAGACAGAAACTTTCAAGAAAAACCCAGAGAGAGGGAGAGAGAGAGAGTCTTTCTTCTGTTGTCTGAAATTGCTACTAAGATAATTAGCAGAGACAAAGCAAGAGATTTTTCTATTTCTTGTTTTTAGCTGCTTTTTTCAAGTTCCAAACTTTCATTCTCTCTCTAGAGAGAGAGAGAGAGCATGTGATCCTCTGCATGTGGAGATGTGAACTCCAACATCAAAAAACCTATCTTTTTCAGTCTTTTTTTTTCTTTTTTTCTTTTTTTTAATAGAATTGATAAAATAATTTCAAATTCCACTTTCTTATCATTGTTTATAAGTTTGTATGAATTTTAAAAACATCTCCGCTTTTAATTCCCCGCCCGTGGATGAACAAACCTCTCTCTCTCTCTCCCCCACTTATTTACTGCCTAAATATTTCACTCTTTCTGTCTTTTTCCTCAACATTTAGTCTTTCACATTAATTATAAAGTCAACCAAAAACAAATGATATAGTCAATGTGGATCCACCATCGTTAATTTCAAACTTTATTGTATTCATGAGTATAATATAATATCGAATTCGTTTATGGTTTGGTAAAGAAAACCTTAACCATTTTCCAAATCATTTTTTTTTTCCAAACAAGTATCGCACCATAATTCTGAATTGAGTTTTTCTCAAGTTTGCTATTTCAATATAAACCCCATTAGGATTTTTTTTTTTTTTTAAAGGAAATGGAGTTTACAGTGGAAACTGGGAAGGCTCAGCTTTTCATTTAAGTCGCTGGGGAGTTTCGATAATTTCAGTGAGATGCGCGTAGAGGCATCACTTCATCGGACGGCTGAGATTGCTCGGCCTACCTAGGATCCGCTCAGCTTTCAACTATTTTGAGTACATTTTATACATACATACATTCATTAATTATATTTTTATTTATAATATCAATCAATATACAATTTATCAGTCGGTAGCTTGTTTCGTACTCAAAATTTTCTTTAATTTTCTAAATAAATCAAGAGACCAAAAATACACTCGGACCTTTAAAATATAACTTACAAATAACTAAATGGGCTTCAATTCAAAGCCCACGATAGAAAATGTTACAACTTAATTAAAGCCCATTAAACTATGTAGGCCCAAATTCGTTCTCAAGATATCCGGTTTAATATTTCATCAAACTCTGCATGGAGAAAACAACAACAAAGCCCAATGTCTTCTGCGTCCAACACTCCTGCACCCTTTTTACTTTTTTTTTTTTTTTTTTTTTTTTTTTTTTTTTGGGGGTTTGATGATACTAACAATCTCATGCATAATCACCAAAATCTTCAGGAAAACATTTTAAAAAAAACAAGTAACCATGAAAAGGGAGATAATATAGTATATATATCACACACATGAAAACCCTAAAAAGGTATCTTTAGATCTCAACGTTGGAGACTTTGTTTTCCGGCGCTTTCTTGGATGAGGGGCTCATCTCAGATTCTCCGACCCGACCTCTCATGGCGTCAACGGCCGGTTTGACCGGACTCGTGATCGGAAGTTCGCCGCTGTTGCTTGGTTCATCGTCCTGTATCATCCTGTCTTTGCTTTTACCCCATACCACTGTGTACAGACCCACGATTATGAAAACTGTCCCTATGACACTGAAGACAACAACAAAGATTCAGACTGATGATCTGAGGATTGGATCTTATGGGATAATAAGAGCAAATTATGAGATGTACCTTCCAAGATGGATACTTTCAGACAAGACAAAGACACCAAGAGCTGCGGTTATGACAACACACAGAGGATTGAATGTGGCGACAAAGACTGGTCCTCTTTCTTTCATTACCACTCCTTGCACGTAATACGCAACCCCAGAACACACCACACCCTGAAATATATGTACTCATTTCATTCATCATATATAATGACTGACCAAATACTAATTAACCCTTTAATTGATCGTATGATTAACGAAATATTTGGATAAAATTCGCTCACGGAATAGGCTGCGGCCACGAGGTTGGTGTCAAAGCCGATTTTCCAGGCGGACAGGTCACGTTCCATTACCAACGACACGGCCGCGCCTTCTAATGTCCCCATCAGACATATTAACGCCGTTAGTGACAGCTCCGCTGGGTACTTCTTCAGCGTTAACGACTGCCGTTAAATTAACCAAAACTTCATGAGCGTTACGTTTCCCGGTTATCTGTTAACCGGATGAACCGGCTAGTGCGAAAGAAAGTTCAGCTACTTAGTTGGGAGCTAATTAATATATATATATATATATTATTTAGCAGTACTTGAACATATTTGTTTTTTTTCCTAGGCATTTTATTCCTACCGGTTTGAAGATTAAATTGTGAACCGGATCGGATTTTAATGGTCTTAACCAGTTTAAACCGTGTAATTAGTGCAACTAGTTCAGAATTACAATAACCTTCTTACCCCTATGAAATTCCGAACTCGGATCGTACTTTGCATGCAAATAACATTCGTATAACAAACACACGTATATGTGGATATATAGGGTGCGTACGTGTACATGTGTATATACGTATCAACGTGTGTGTATGTGTATATATATATATGTACTTACTTGTAGAATGAAGAAAGCAGACCAACCAAAAGTTCTGCCCAACAACATAAGCGTTCCCGGAATCCAGTGCTTGTCCACGGCGGCTCCACGGTGGTTGCCTCCTTCGCCACCGCGGCCACCGCCATGGCCGGAGCCAAAATTTATGAAATCGATGATGGGACCTTTATAGAGTGTCATGAAAAGAGCTCCGGAGACTGTGATCGCCGTTCCGACAACCTTTGCTATGCTTCGTACCTTCTTCATGTTCACGCTCTCTAATCTGATTTATTTTATTTTATAAATTAATTATGAGTTTTTCAATAGTTAATGCGTTTTTGGAGAATCTTTATATATATATATATATATATATATATATATGTGAGCATATTCACTTGGATATGGGTATGTAACTATAACATGCATACATGGAAATGCTTACATAATCACTCAGATGATGATATTCATCACTAATATATGATTGTAGTGACATCCTACGTAATGGAATTAAGTTCGAACAGCGTCATCATCATATCCATGTGATTTATAATAATATTATATATTTTCATCATGAGAATTTTTCATATGAAGTAGTTAGCAGCGTCACGTTCCACGAACTTGTGCCCCTCGTTCCCATGGCATTGGAATATTTTTTTTTTATATTAAAGTCATCATCAAAAACAAAATCGAGAAAAATTATTTTCCATATTAGTATAACGTATTTTTTTTATGAGATCATGTATTAAATATCCTATAGATGATCGGTATAAACCCAATTACACCTTCCGCTTAATGCATAGGAATATATTAATTGTATTATTAATATTTGACTGCCTATTGCTTAGAAATATCCACAACATTTTTAAATTTTAGCCGACTCATAATTAATTGGTTAAAACAAATATATAGTACAAGTTTTAGCAAAATTTAATATTATGGTGACCTGAAAATGAGTGCCATGATGAAGGTGATGGCGGGAAGGACATTAGCAGTGGCTGAAGCGAAGGTTGCTGACGTGTAAGTCATCCCGACATAGTAGAGATTCTGATCCAACACTGGCCTGGCAACACACACACACACATATTAATCCTAATTAATTTCTAATTAATTGCTTTGCCTTTTTCTGTTTAAAATACGTATATAGTTCAATTCATGTACATGCGAGTGACATCAACTACGTGGTTATATATATATATATATACGGTACTTTAGTTTCGTGTCGTTAATTTGCATCATGTCTGTGTCGACCAAAGATCTTCAATATTCATCCAACCGAAACTGTCATGTATTCCATTAATTATTCCTCCAATTATCAATGATTTTATATATAAAAAAATAATTTCTCAAAAGTAGAAAAAGCCCAACATTAATCTACTACTATCTGTCCTTCTTATACTTTGATAAATAATAGATATTTTATCAATTTATTGGACCGTTAAATATTGTTAGCACCATTCCAACAAAAAAAGAGGGTAAATTATGTATATTCTAATGTGTGATACATTAATTAAAATAAGTGGACAAAATTTTTCAGCTGAAAAGTATAGAATATGTATTACTCAATAAAGCCGAGCAAGGCTATTCGTAGGAACACTCCGACCGTCATCTTTGGGCGTATTTTCCTGCATAATCACATCAACAAAAGCATAAAAATCTTTTAATTATCTCTAACAAAAAAAAATCTTTTAATTATCCGCTTCAAATATTACATATTTTTCATCATATAAGAGAAAAAAAAAAGGTTAAAAAAACCGTTATCAGGAAACGTTGTATAAAAATATGTGTTCTTTATTTGAATAAATGCAAAAGAATTTGCTATAATTGAATTATCTCCAAGTTCCTTTGTTCAATGGGTATATATATATTGGCCATTGCAAATTCATGATTCAACACAAGTAGCAAAATATGGAATCTAAAAAAAATGTTTCGTAAATATAAAAAAATTCAAAAACGTGAAGTAAAAATACATGTTTATTAAGCTAATTAATTGCTTAAATTATGATAGTAATTAATAGAAATTGAAGTAGGATACGGACCTTTCATAGAGAAGAGCGAAGGGGGCAATAACGAGGGTGGCGATGGCATGGCGATAAACGGCGAGGACGTAATGGTTCATGCCGTGTTTGAGAGAGACCATGGTGATGATGTACATCCCCGCATACCCGAATTGCATCGACACCATTGCTACGTATGGCTTCACTCTTTTAATAAACCCTAACCACATCTTCTCTCTCTCTCTCTCTCTCTCTCTCTCTCTCTCGATTTGATGTGTTTTGCTTGTACGTATGCTGAGAGATAACACCATGAGGAACTTGCTTATATAGACAAATTCCTGATCGTGCTGACAAAAGCCAGTGAAAGGACATGCGTGTACATAACACAACCCATTGGCTAATGTCAGGCACCACTTTTGTTTAGTTTGGTCTGCGGTTTTTCTAACTATTTATACCCATTTACACGTACACTATATGTATATTCTATATAAACACACACACACACACACATGTGATTGATATATATATACATATACATATATGTATGTAGTTTGGTTTCATAGAATTAGGTTTTAACTGTTTATGAGATATACACCCATTAATTATACGCATTGGTTATGAAAACGTATAAGTAATAGTGTCGCATTTTCGGAATATTATATTTAATTTATTCACCTAATATATAGGGTTTTTTTATATTAGGGTGGTTCATGACTTTTTAATGTTGGTTACAATTTTTTTGTTGTTGCAAATATATTTGATATTCGCAAATCTGCCTCAATGACTACCAACTTCAAATATAGCTTGACTGTTAAATGGACCGCCGTCGAAATTAATTCGATCTATAGGCATAAATATTCGTCATTTATCTTATAATATATTAATTAGGATCAATTAAGAAAATCAAGAAAATTCTGGTGGCTTCTAAGGAAATGGGTGCAAAGACTTCATAATGAATATAGAGGAGAGATTATTGTGGTTTGAAGAGTGGACACCATCCATATCGTCAGAACTACTAACATATTTATTATTTTATTTTTGGAAATATATTATTTTCGTCATACTGGTTAAGAATATATATATATATATATATATATAAGAAGCATATATATATATATATATATATATATATAAAAGAAGATAAAAGGATCTGCATATCAGAGGTTGAGTCTCAGTGTCTGATACTACAATTAGAAATTTAGAATGTATATATTTTCTATTGGTAAGTATAGTTTTATCAACATATCCTGCTTATATATATATATATATATATATACACTAATTTGAAGATCTTTGATAGGGACGGTAATTTTTTCAGTTCTATCTATATATCTCTTTGAATCCTATGGGTTTAGACTTTAGTATATTTCAGATCAATCAATTATTGTACACACACACGCATATATATATAATTCAAATATAAAATTCTAACACGAATCCTACTTACAAAGATACAGAGGAATTAAAGTCTCTTTGTAGCAACTCAACATATTTTTTTTAAAGGTGAATGTTTTTTTACCCATTTACCGAAATATTTTTATTACACACCAACATGACGTGTGAAACCCTAATTTTTATTTAATGCCAATTAGACTGACGACAACATAAAAAAAAAAAGACTTGTCAGAAAAATGACATCCGAAGAATATAACGTCGTCGGGAGAACATTGGACACATAAAACATTAATTTTTTTTAATAAATCAGAATATAATTAAATTAATCAAAAACAAAAATACACATCCACTTTCGTTATAGTTTTGGTAATTCGTCGTCACATGTAAAGACAAATGTGGTTAGGTCCTTATAACGTGACGCGGCAACTAGTGCGCTCGGTTCGGTATTTATTGAAAACAATGCATTCCCACACACACACAAGAAAAAAAAAAAGACCGGAATGTCATTGGAGAAATAATCCACGTAAACATATATTAGAATATAGTAACTATATTTCTCTGATCTTATTGGAAATTGTTAAATTCTTTTTTATATAAATTTGAAGTTCTATTAGTTTTTGGATAAGATGGTGATCTACCATGAGATGTCGATGTCCACGGAGAACCAATTTCTATAGTTTTATAAATCATGTAAATTCTAATATTATAAATGAAAATTTTCATAATTTTTAATATATGTTTGCTGCCTAAGAAAATTTAACCTAATATCTTTTAAGAAAACGCTAGATAATATATGTTTCTAGCTCGGATAGAACTTAATCTTCTCAATCGTAGGTTTGAAGGTGTATACATATGAAAACTAAAAAAAGGTAAAGAGATGTTTGATTTGATTAATGCCATATTTAATTTAAAACAATAAATAAAAGTGGTGATCTGATAGCAAAGAGTTTTAAATTTTTGATAACTTCAAAAATGGGTTTTCATCTTTATAAGTAAACATTATGAAAGAGAGTTGTTTATTATAGCTTATAATATGTTATTAATTAAACGGAATTGTATAGTTCCGTCTGAGCAAATATAAACAAATACAAGGGACATGATTTGAAAAAGACTACAGGTTTTTGAGTTCTTTCGTCTAATCTAATTTTGCATAATATTAATCGTCCACGGTTTTAGATGTTTCTCATTGCAAAACTATCTCCATAGGATTTTTACGGGCAATAAGACAAAATATTAAGTATATAATGTTTGATATACAAAAACATATTGTTAGATGCGTTAATAATAAAAGTAGACAAATAGATAATCTTAATTTTGTTTTATGGACTGTATACATAATACACATAAAAATAATATTAATTTTTATTAGTTTTATATGAATAAATAGAAATAGTCCTAAATTTGCGATGCATATATATATATATATATATATATATATATATGTACACAAATTAAAACTCTAGCAAAAAAAAATAGGTAGTATAAGTAATAGCTCGATCTCTTGAAGTAACTATAACCTTTTTTTATGGATATTATACCATTTTATGTAGATTTTATAGATCAAGCTTTAAATTTAAGTTACGTACCATTCGTAAGAACTTTCATGAATCATGACAAGATGCTTTTGTTCTCGACAAGATCCTTCTGACATCATACGCATTAGATTCTTTATTCGAAAGAATCATATGCTTCTGCAAAATCGAGCTTACGATAAATTGGAATTTCTTCTGATGAGAAATAAATTTTGGAACATTAAATTATGACCGTTGGTATGAATTTTTCCCCTATAATTTCCCGATATGATCATATATACAGGATATTTATGTATGTCTATTGATGACGTGGCGCAAACCCATCATGAGTTATTGGTATGTGCAAAAAAAATACTGTTTATGATTTATTTTAAAAATGATAATAAATTCACCAAAAAATGAAAAAAAAAATATAAATATAAACAACAACTTATCAAAGGGCTTTCATATTTCACATTTCCAAATAAAAACATCTATTCAATTTTTCATTTTTTTCGTTTTAAAGAGGAAAAGTACAGTGAACCCTCATTCAAAATAGAAGTGAGTGGTGCTGGGATGAGTCGTACGATGACGTACCAAATATATATATATAAGAGAAATAAGTAGGATTAGGCCAAAGTGAAAAGAGTGGGTGATAAGTGGGTTTCATGCTTGGATCCCATCTTCCACAACTTTGGATAATGGATTACACCTCCTTATATATTCCAATTTATTATTGTTATAACCAATGTGATTACACTAGTTTTCGACAAAATATGCTTAAAAGATAAATGAAAAAAGCATACGAAAAAATGATGGTGTCATCAAAATCTAAATAATTTATGGTTTGATATTTACGCGATCATGGAAGTATATGCAAGTAGTTCTGAATTCAATAAATAATAAAAGGGACACCACAGTGAACAAAAAAAGACGTCCAATATTCTTTCATAAGATACATAAATACATGCATATGCACGTACATACATAAACGTAAGCTCACGCGCGCACTGATGAGAGATATACATACATAAGCACATATATAAATGCATAAATATACTTATATACATAATATATACAGATATATACCCGTGTGTATATAGATGAATCTATATCTTTCATCGGCATATATGTACATGCATATGCATATTTTCTATTTTTCCGTCATACTATTAATGTTTTTTATAATATTTTTTTACATCCGCCACTTATGAAATTACACACGTCTTACATATATACATATTATTCATATACATGTATAATTACATGCATGTATACACGCACACTAACATGCATGCATACAAACAAGTATGCATACATACACGCGCGCACATACTTACATGTATGGATGGATGTATGCATATAAAGGCCCCTAATTGGGGAAGGAAAGAAAGAGAAATCGGAGATCTAGAGCATGTGTAGTATTGGGCATGCATGCTAAAACATGAAAGAAAAAGACCAGACATGCAATGAACTTATCCGAAAATTTGTTTGTATTTTGCGAAATCCACGTCATCCATTTCCTTTCCCCATCCAATATTTTTTTTTATTAGAAAGCAAATGTTACTCTAATGAAACTCAATGCTTTTTACTCGTAATAAGTTGCATCATTTCAAAGTACCCAACTCTTAGATATAATGGAAACCTATGAGCTGTAATAAATTCACCATATCCCTCTCTCCTCCATTATTTTAATTTCACCAACTCTAGGAAAAGGAAGTCCACGTTACAGCTTTCCGATTTTCATATTTGCTTGTTTTTCCCCTCAAAATTTGATTAGAATCTGGTTTTTATAAATAAAAATCGTAATTTTTAAAGAATTTTTCAGTTTTAGTTTTATTTGGGTATTAGAATATCGAATTTGGTTGGATATAATAATGTTTATTGGCTCTGGGTCAGATTTGTTTGACCGCACGGAAATTGGCGTGGCACCCTCATAGGAGAGGTTACAACAATATATATCCTCTTATATATATATATTATTGAGTTCGTCGATCACTTTTGTATGATTTCTGTTGGAAAAGGATATGAATATATAACCGGAAGTAACCCTTGAAAAATTAATGACAAAGATTAGTAAACTCCATGTCTGACATGTTCTCTAATGATTAAACGTACGAATGTACGATAATGGATATAACCCCTCTTTTTTCTCCTAGTTGTTGTCTTTTGATAAAGTTTGTGCCTAGATAAGTTTCTTCTTCTGGAAAGGCGATGGCCATGTTCTTGTTCAGGGCCTTGGGCAATCAAGCTAGGGTTTTGGCACTAGTGGAAAGAAGTCTTAGATATATCTTCCTGTTAATAATTGAAGGCAGCCCAACACCCTGTAAAGAAACCATTTCAAATGGCACCATCTCATGCTAGGCGCAACGGAAGGACAGAGGCTGGATCTTTTCCCAATCTTTGGCTGAAATGCCGATCCTCCAGTCAATTCCAAGGGTGATAGGAATAGTTTCCGGTTTCTTGAGTTGTAAATGCAAACTGACCATGGGATACATTTTTCTTGGTGGTGGAGTGTGTTGCCGAAAGGAGACGTCACCAATAAGAAGAGATCGGAGACATCAGACAAAATACGAACGAGACAGATACCCTCTTTAAGTTCAAAACATCAATGGCCTGGGAAGTACTTCGACTGGTACGTTCTGCCCATTGTTCTTCACATGCCACCAAGAGTTAACGAACACAATAAAAATGGTGAAACTGAAAGAGACGTTCAGCTTCAAATTAACAATGGCAAACATAGAGACAGTCAAGAACTTGAAACCATCAATCTAGCAGATGGCGATGGAAGATGACAATTGTTGAAGAAAACAGTCATGAGAACCAAAACCATAGCTCTGGAGATTCGGTTCAACCGAAAGATTTCTTTTTTCCAGAAAAATCTAAACTTTGTGAAGCCCAAATTAGTATATCATGATGCCCTTTTCATACAAATCACCATGTTTCGATCAAACCCAGAATTCACCATTTCGAACAAACTCAAACACTGAACGACATATGCAAACTACGATGTTCAAATTCCCTCTATCTATCCAAGAACCAACAAGTTTCACGACTTGATTCTGTTCACCAGAAGAACGGCAGCAATCTCCTCAAAGAATAATCAGAAACCCAAATCGAAATCGTACCTTAGAAGAAACGGTCGGCGAATTGTTAGGATTATGCTCGTCGACGACATAGTAATCGGCCAAAACAATCAATTCCGCGGCACAAGATCGCGAGAAAACCAATCCTTTCGACGCCATCGAAGAGACGACAAAGAGGAGCTCATGCGCGCAGGCGCCCGCGCGTGCGTTTAGATGGCGATAGTTAAGTTTTGGAAGGAGGTTTTTGTCACACGTCGTCGCAAAAATTCTCCAATCATTTTACGCCACGTGTCTGAAGAGCGCAAGCGTTTCGTTAATTTGGGCTGAAATTGTTAATAATGGGCCCACAGAATATATGGGCTCAATAATAGTGACAATATTTAGGCCTATATGCTTTGTCGTATGTTTCATAATCGAAAGCTGTTATCTAACATCGGAATTACATTAACGTACGGAAAATATATATATGATTTTTATATGTCGGACCAAAATTTTTTGGTTATGAATCTATCTCGGCACTCTTTAAATCTTATGGTACTGTTTTTTCCCCTTTCTTTTGACTCCGGTATATGATAGGTTTTATTTATGTTCACATATAATTTCTCTCACCTAATTTATATAAACAATAAATGTGCGGGAAGCCCTTTAATTTTGAAAAATAAAACATAATTGAAAGGATTTGGTAGGTGAACCAAATATATTATCAGAATCCAATTTTCGAACTTTCCCTAGAAATTTCTCCACGCACTTATTCACCCAATCCGAAAGTGGGAAATAGCCTAGCGTCAATCAATATATATATATATATATATATATAGGGAATATTTCGATTTTGTCGATAGAATTATGTCACTAGTTCATACATTTGTGGTTTCAACCTCCAACAATATCGCACCTTCTTCGAAATATCCCCATTTTCCAATTCACGTGTATATATATGTGTATACATATATGTTAAATTATTATATTGATTGAGATCTCATGGTTGAGAAGAAGGTACGGAGCGAGTACGGTGCCAGTTCAGAGACAGAGCATGGGCATTTTCGTCACAAAATAATTTTCTTTTGGTACCATGCATGGACGTACATGGCAAGATATTATGTGCATAATCTATGAAAATGTTGAATATACGCTTAATAACAAAATTACAATACCTGATTCTCCAAATTTAAGTAATTGGTAGAAATTTACATTAACGAAAAATGAATAGACACGTCGAATAGTGGATCTAAACATTTTATTTAGCAGTAAAGGAAAGAATTTACAGTTTGTGTTTATAAAATCTGAATACCAATCAAATTACCACTTAATCCCATAAAGTTGTTTAAAAAAAATATTCACCGCAGTACTTATCCTCCCTTTAATTGCACCGAGCATCCATCCGTCCATGGACACACCGATATAAAACATGAAGTAAATACGGTACGTAATTTAATCTTGAAAAATTAACTCTTGATTAAATTTTCACGCAGCCAACCATAGTTGACATTTTGATACATGGATCTCCAAATAAGATGTCAAAGAAGGCATGGGTTTGAACTTTGAAGAAGCCTCGATGCAATGAAAAGCGTTTCATGCAAAATTAATTTCAGATAATCGTAAAAACCGAGTTGAATTTAACTTTATATTAAAAAAATTTAAAAAAAAAAACAAATTTTGCTTTTTTAGATATCAATTTTTCAGATGGACCAGGAGTCCCGGACACATATAACGCACGGATCTTAATTTATTGGCTTTTACGTACTGCACTTGTACGTAGCTGCAACGTGAGTTTCGTGTCCATACGGACATGCATAAGTGGTGACAAGGCAATGTAATGTTTTGCATTAAATATTATAAGATAATACGGGTATTTGGTGAATCTAGTTAGACGAGTCATTCAAAGTCACAAAATTTTTATGATTACCATATTTTTAACGATTTTATGTGTTATAAATCTGCTAAATATGTAGAATGACTAACGAAATAATGACAGATTTTAATAAAAGAAAAAAGAAAGAAGGTGAAGTCGTAAAAAATATAGATGTAACATTTTTTCAGATCATTTATTTTTCTTTATATTTTACATATATTTTTTTAAAATTTATTTTCCGATTTTATCTTGAGCAATGAATGTAATTTCTCAATGATTTCGTCACCAAGGATGGTTGGTAAAGAAAATATGGCTATTAATACCCATTTTATTGTATTGCCCGTTCTTTTACTTTGGAGCATAATATCCTCATTAAATATTATATATAAACTATAAGGAAGAGAATTAATGAAACAAAAATTTATGAAAAAAAAATCAATTTACAATATACCAAAAAAAAAATCGTATGTCTGTGTGTTTATAAAAATAATAAAAACGAGAAAAGATAAATCAAGAACCAAAACGCGGTTTAGGGGTGCAAGGCAGAGAGACAACAGCTGTCTGTTGAAGTGAGTAGCTCTTGTCACTCGCTCCCACACGGCTTCCATAATGTCCGAATAAATTAACTAATGCAAAATATTTATTTTTTAAAATTAAATCTCATAGCAATTATGATCCCTTTTTTTATTAATTTAGATTCGATAATGTTTAATTTAGTTTATTTAATTGTTCTTATTGTTAGACCTAACATGTTCACGATGCTGCCTTGCCTTTTCCCATCTCATCCCATTCTTATTCCCTTTTATTATTTATGCTATCTCTTGCAATATAATCTTTTTGTTTTAACACATCCAACATGTCAATATTTTTTTTATATCATTTTATGCAGAGAAATTATAATCTAATTTTTTCACATAAATTATAATCTAATTATATATGGATATTGATAAGCCGCTTTCAATCTCTATCCTGCAATTTTCAATTTTCATACTCTCTCTCTCTCACACACACACACTAAATATCCATAAATTCGTATATATTGGTAAGTAAATATTAATTTTTTGTTTACAAATTATTTGGAATATGGTGAGATATAACTATGTTAATATGGAGATTATTACCCATTCTAATAGAATTGAAAATTGGAAAATTAAAAGAGTACAAAACTTTAAAAAAAATTACTGCTTTTATTTTTTTTTTCAAAAAAAAATACATATGATGTTTTAATGTGATAACGCTGTAAGATGTGAAAACAATGTGAAAAATGTCTCCAAATTATATACCTTGATTTGTTTTAGCATTATGACATAGTTTCAGAGACATTTGCATTTATTTTATCAAATAAACATATACACGCACCATAACATATATATACACCAATAATTAACCACCTCTTTAGAGGGCCATTTTCTCCGAAATGTCGTGGGATTGAAATATTCAAACGTAGCTGTAGTTTGCAAGCCTCGATGGTAACGTAATCGCAACCGAATGGAGTATGTGGAAATAAAATAACACACAGTCTCAACCTTAATTTCTTGGGCATGTCCCTGTATAATCTCTTTGTTCAGCAAGTGGATTCCGTACAGCTAGCTATACATTCCTTACACACCAATATTAACCCCTTTTTTTTCCAAGACCAACATGATCGAATTTTAATTTAAATCTGTAAACAATATAATATCACTGAATATCCATAGCAGCATGCGATTGTGTTTCAATAATGTAACATTAAAAAAGAAAAAAAATTAAGCACAAAAAATCCATTTAATATTATATATGTGCAAAAAAAAAAAAAGGACCTGTCATGCACCAAAACGTCACATTCATACATGTAACTGGAAACCATACTGTTTCTTTTTTTTTTCCATAACCATTCTATTTCGTTTGAACATATTTTTTTTATGTATAAAATATCGATTATTTAACTCTTACGCTCCATCCATCTGTCTATATAATGAACTCTTTGCATTATAACACAAGAACATATAGCACACAAACAAAACCCAACAGCATCTACACTTTCTCATTCGATCAATCCATTCACTAAACGATATCGCATTATCCGTATATTATATATCCAAATTATCACATCGATATATACATTGCAGAATGGTGAGATCGAAGCCTAAGATCCAAACCCAGATCATAAAAAAAGCAATGCCCTCGTCGTGTAAGAGTGTGAACGAGAAGAAGAAGTACAGAGGAGTGAGGATGAGAAGCTGGGGATCATGGGTGTCTGAAATTAGGGCACCGAATCAGAAGACAAGAATCTGGCTAGGTTCTTACTCAACTGCCGAAGCAGCTGCTAGGGCTTATGATGCTGCACTCTTGTGCCTCAAAGGCCCTAAAGCTAATCTTAATTTCCCAGACGTTTCATCTTCTGACCTTCTCATCGATGAAAATACCGTTTTGTCCCCCAAATCCATTCAAAGGGTCGCCGCTCAAGCCGCCAACTGTGTCTCCTTTGACCATTTTGCCCTTCATCGTCATCGACCATCACCATCGTTATCTTCAACATCATCGGCCTCCTCCCCTTCCGATCACGACAGTGATCATCATCGTGTCGATGACGACGACGATGTCATGCTACCGTTGATGGGATCTTTGAAGGGTTTCGATGAACCAGTGTCATTGATGGATGCATCATGGCGTGATTTTGTCAGTGATGATTATGATCATCATCATCGTAATGGGACGTTCTTCTTTGATGAAGTTTCGTTTGATTATTTTCCCCATCCGATGTCGATGATGACGACGGTGACGACGATCGACGACGTGTACGAAGATGCTGAGATTCCTCTTTGGAGTTTCAGCTGATCCGACGGTCCAAAATTAATAACCATATTCTTTAATTAATTGCTGATTATTTATCTTTGTCCTAATTACGGTCGTAATATTTTTTATGCTCAAGTTGCCTGTTGCTTGAAGAGAATTATGTATTACTAACGATCGAAAGCCGTCCGCATATGAAATATGTGTATATATATATACACATATATATATTAAATTCGGATACGTTTTGGTTTAGATAGGACAAAGCAAGATCACATGAACAGGAGGCTTTTTTTCTCTCCACTTGTTGACTCTTTCATGTGTATTTTTTATTTATTGTAATGTCGTTTATTGTACGATAATATGCGAAATTTGTTATTTAATCGTGTGTTTTTATTGTAATGAATTGCTAATAAACGATAAATATACTTCTTGCAATTCAATCTAGTTTGAATGTTTCAGATTAAAAAAACTTAATTTATATATTTTTTTAGATTTATATTGAGTTTCTCATTAAGTTTAAATCACATGGCATGTCTTTTCTTAAGTTCAAGCACCTTTTTCCCATATGATTCTCAGAGTACATTGAATTTGGTTATATTTCGGATTTAATATATTCGGACACAAAAATGCAATCTAATAAACAGCTCCGTATCACCGGGAGTGTTTTCCTCGTCTTCTGAAGTTTCTTTTTACGGATCCATGGAATAACCCAAAGTTAAAAACTTTAGTATAATTTTATATGTATAAATAGTATTAATTTTATATGGGAGGGGTCGTGTGAATTAGGTTGGGCTGGATATGATTGGGATGTATATTATCCAATTCTATGTATATTGGACTTATTAGAGGCTAAATCTAACAGGCCTTATATAGAATTGTTCTTGCTTATCATTGTTTATTATGGGCCCCAAAAGATTATTCTCAATAAATTAAGCTCAATATAAAATGGGCTCTCTTCGTTGGGTTTATTTAGGGTAACTATAATTGGGCTTTATAACAGTCTCGTAAATGTTATTATTTATATTAAGGGGGGGACTATACACACGATTTTGAGAATTTGAATCTTTAGAAATTAAATCATGAGATATACTTTATTTTCATAAGATCATATGTTTTAAACGGATATTTTATCAAGATTTAATATAAGAAATCGATAATTTGAATCTTTTCATTTATTTTTATTTTCAATTCAAATTCAGTAAATTTGTTTAAAATGAAAATATATTTATTCGGATTATCTTGTAGTTGAAATTTGGGTATTGAATGCACTTGTGATTCCAAGGAACCACTCTTTAAAGAATCAGAAAAATGATGAAATCACCATAACAGATTCTTTTGAAACCCCAACCGTATATACAGACAGGATATCAAAACTGGGTTTTGAATCAGACGCGGGAGAGTTGCCAAGCGCGTGAGGACAATCTTGAGAAGCCAAACTCTTGGCTTTCCCGAAAGAAAATTCGAAATCAAGATCTTAGAGGTTAGGTTAAATCTCATGTGCTCTCCTCTTACCAAAAGCCACTTCTATTGCTTATAGCTGTCCATTCACTTTCTCTTCCATATATGCTATATTATATATATATATATATATGTATATATCAAGCTTGTAGGAAACTCTCTTACCGTTTCCATGGCCAGTTCCTTTGTGGTCCATTGGGGGAATTCTAGAGTATGTTTCTAAGCTGAATCATTTGAAATCTGTTTGTTCTTTTTTCCTTTCTTCTTTAGGGAATTCTGTAGTACGTATTCAATTGAAAAAATAACAAAATACATGCGATTGAAAATGAAATACATGGTATGATAACCCCCCACACAATTTATTAAAAATAATAAATGAAATTCATTAAAATAATTACATTTTGAAATCATTTTTTATATGATACCCCCCCACCCCAAAAAAAAAAAAAAAAAACTCATATAGAGAGTGACAAAATCCATTGAAAAAGAAACAACAAAATCCAGAAAACACACACACACAATTTATTAAAAATAATCAATGAAATTCATTAAAATAATTACATTTTGAAATCATTTTTTTGGTATTTTTAAATTTTATCAAATATCTAACAAGAATATTTTATATATAAATATACACCGTACTAATTTTAAAATAATTACATAAGATTATTTCTAAGGTAGTGAAAATTAGAAAATGGATTTTTTATTTGAGTTTCTTCAGAATTAATAGTGTTTTTAAATAAGTTTATTGACAAGGGTCTTCTGACTCTGTAGAAATAAAGGAAGAAATCAGCCTCGAATTTTCTTTGTACCTTTTTTTTAAAAAAAATCTTTAAGCATAGATGACTCATGGATCATGACATTTTGACCAAAAAAAGTACCTAAAATTCTGGGGTTAGGAAATGAACCCCATTGGACCAACAATACGAGCAATTCATGCATTTATTTAAACCATTAAATATTATTATAATATTAACATAATAATGGATTGAAATTGAATGAGGCAGGGACATGCGTGCAGAAACAACCATACTCTTCCTGTTTCATAATAAATTACCCCTATCCCGACAGAACAATAATTTATATTGTTGGTGTTACAGATTTTGATTTCTGGGTGTTGTATATATATATATATATATTTTATTTATTTATTTATTTTAGTTTCTAATGAATGCATATACATAGAGGTACAGTACTTTCTGAAACTTCTTGGATTGACTGCTTTTTCCTCAAGATTTTTCTGCATGTGGAGTAATATTTGAATGTCTTGAAATCCAAAATTCAAAGGCTTATGTTTCAGTCAAATGTTGATGTAAGCAAAATTACCATGGGAAATACATGTGCCAAATTCAATGTAGATTTATTTTTTTCATATGAATTGTTTCCAAATTCAAATTTTATTTTAAAAATTTATTATTATTTTTTGTTTGTATATTGCCATTAATGTATCAAATCAGTTTTCAAACCATTTTTTTTTGTTGGGTATGACTGGGAAATTATTATTTGGGGAGGGTTAAATAATGATGAACATATTTTAAAACGGGTATGGCTGTGTTTATGTAGAATATTTGACACTTGGATTATGATGCAAAAGGAAACCAATCCAGCAGGAAATCATGTGACTCTTGGGAATATATATATATAATATGAAACGGATAACTACATATAAAACCCAAACATTATCATCCATAGACGATGATCATGGCGACTGCGGCATTATTTTAGATAAGAAAACAAAGTCGCATTTGATGTGTTCTTGTCGTGAATCTTACTCGACGTTTATTGAAATTGTCTATAAATATCTATTAAAAAAAATATTCATTCTACAATTGCAGAACAATAGGGAAAAAGAATGCAGAATATTTCTTACGTGTGACAACTTAGAGATCGTATTGGTTGGATGCATTGATATTATTATTGGTTTTCCAAGATATGGACAAAGCTGTCTGGTGTTGACAATTCTCGTAGAACCCAAAATGGTTACTTAAAATAAATAATTATTTTCCACATCTAATTTTCGAAATACCAAATTAAAAAGAGAATTGCAGGCCATAACGTCATCAGTCAAGAGAGAGGAGTTTTATGTTTTCAGAAGAAATTTTGATTTATACAAATATTAAGCATATTAGGGTGTTTATGTACAGATTACAGAAATTTCGAAAAAGGGAAAGACTTTGGAACCGAAACCCGAAAATAATCGGATCCAATCCGAACCGAAACCCGAAATACCCGACCCTAAATGCCACTCTCTCTTAGACCTCTGGAGTAAGCTCTCTTCTTTTGTTGGCTCACCAGGGTTTAACATACAGATATATGTATATGGAGAGAAGGAATCTTAACAAAAAAAATCTACACTTTTGTGTTGCTTGGCTTTCACTTCAAGTTTCACAGAATTTACCATCCATTTGATTCTGAACAGCTTTCACAGCTGCCACCCTTGCGGCTGTAGCGGCTTTGTTAGCTGCTGAAACTGCCCGGCTCACCTCCTCCTCCACCCGTCTCATATTTCCGGCCTTCTTCGCAGTTTCTCGGGCCGCCTATGAGATCAGAAAACAATAGTTTACACAGCTTTTCTATTTCAAAGTTTTCAACCATTTGGAACTAAAAGTTTCATCCTTTTCACTGAATCAGACGATGATGGAGCGGTGAATTTACCTGAACGGCTCTGCGAACTGGCTCGCCCGTTGGAGGAAGACGGGTTCGAAGATTTCCGTCATCCCATTCACCAGATTTCATGTCACCGTTCCTGAAAGTGTATATGCCATAGCCTTGCTTACGCCCCTCGTGCCATGCTCCTTCGTAACAGTGGCCGTTGGCAAAACGATATACGCCAAAGCCGTGGATCTTGTCTCCGAAATACTCACCTGCGTATTTATCTCCATTCCTGCAAAAAGATTGATATATTTAGAGAGAGACCCTTTTAGTTCAGTTCAGTTCAGTGTCCTGAGATTCTAAGGAGAGAGTGAGCATCAAAAGCATGAGATATAAACTCTAAGGAGCCATGAAATCTATAACAACAGATTCAGGAATTACCCAGATCAAATTCTCACGAATCTCTCTCAAATCTAGACTAATATTCAGATTTCTAGGCCATGAAGATCCAAAAGATCTCTCTAGTACCAAGAAGCATCTGCAGATATGCAGAAAAGATCAGAAAGTGATGTAAGAAGATACCTGAAATGGTAAGATCCAAGTCCATGTTTGACAGCAGACTTGAATTCCCCAACATAGCAACTGCCATCAGCACAGGTCTGAACACCAAACCCATGGCTCTGACCGTTGACCCATTCTCCCGCATAACAATCTCCTGTGTAGAACCTGTAAACTCCATAGCCATGTCTCAGGCCTTGCCTGTATTGACCCTTGTATCTACTTCCCCTTGCCCAGCTCTCTATCCCATACCCATCGTATCTTCCATCGATCCAATCCCCTTCGTACCTTCCGTTCACGAAATAGTAGTATACCCCACTTCCATTGCATTTTCCTTTATGAAACTCTCCTTCGTAGAAATCGCCATTGCTATAGAACTCAACCCCTTCCCTTATCAGTTTCTTCCCTCTCTGGGCCTTGTTTTTTTCCGGTTTTGAATCGCCTATGTACCATTGAACCGGTTTCGATGGGCTCCTGCTCTGAATTCATTAAATCTGGTCCCGTCTCTCTCTCTCTCTCCCCCAATTCGCACGTTAAATAACCCGAAACCCGGTCCAAGTCCCCAGATTCTCTCTCTCTGTACAAAGTGAGCTTCTTTCTTCAGCTTCGCCGCCGTTCTCCATCTCCGGTGTGGAGAAAACACGACGACGACGAAGAGCTTCATCGAATATTCTCTACCTTCAGAGATCTCTCTGGCTGCGATACTCTGTGGGACGATGCAGTGGTGGTTATCGTGCATCCGCCTGAGATGTCGCCGGCGAAATCGAGAACGACGGTGGTGACGATAATCTCACGTTACAGAAGATTCTCGTGATCATATTTTTTTTTTGTTTTTTTTTTATCGAGGGAAATGGACGCTCTTCGTCGTCGTCGTGTTTTCTCCACACCGGAGATGGAGAACGGCGGCGAAGCTGAAGAAAGAAGCTCACTTTGTACAGAGAGAGAGAATCTGGGGACTTGGACCGGGTTTCGGGTTATTTAACGTGCGAATTGGGGGAGAGAGAGAGAGAGACGGGACCAGATTTAATGATAACCGTTAGATTAAGATCTGACGGTTGTTAAGGTTACATGGTAAATCGTGGCCGTTGGATGAAGTCCGGTCTTGACGGGAATATATCGGTCGTCGGATCCAGACCCGGACACTTTTTAGCTTTACTGTTGCAGGCCGGCACGTGCCGCCACACACACTAATTTTTTTTCCAATGCCTTTTTCTGAATTTTATTTTTATTTTAATATCCGTACTTTACTCCTTTCTTGCAAGAAATCTGTTGACAATAGATACTGGTTTTCATAAAATTTAATCTTTTCATTTGCAAATAAACACTAAATAGTTTAAAAGGTTGAAAAATGTATATTAAATCCAAAATCTAGTTATATTCATAAATAAATCTATTATTTTCCTCACAATGTTCACTTTAACATTCTTGTATTTGATGCTTCATGATGATTTTTTTTTGTTCCACGTACCATCCATCATCATTGATTGTTTTTTGGTAAGATATTTGGTACAAAAAAGTTGGTGATCCTCCAATCGGACGGTTGAGATGAATCAAAAGATAAAAGCTTTGTGCAATTTGACGAGGAAAAAGAAAGATGAAGAAATGAGAAGATATGGTTGGATCAAATTTGGACTAAACCATGTAGCCAAACATCCTCTTGGAATATTTGTGGCATTGAAAGCCTATACATTAAATTTAAGATTAGATGTGGATATATCTTAGTTTGTGAATCAATTTCTATTATTATTTTATTTATATTTGTATATAGAAAAAAATAAATCCGTTATATTTTTTATTGTTTTTATCTGATTTCATTCCATAATAGATTTTTTTTTTATTAAAATTGTATCTAAACTTCTCATTTTGTTTTTCTGATTATTTTTATATTTAAAACATATTTTATTAATTGATTGTATAAGACCTTATTGATTTTTTTGTTTGGTTATTATATATCTGAAGTAAAATATATGAAATATATTGTTTTTTTAAACACATTCTTTGGATAATTGTTCATAAATGATGTTATTAATAATTTGTGAAAAAAATGGTGTAGTAGTACGAAGAGTTTTTAATAATCGTGGCTATGAAGAACTTTTTTTAATCATTAGAATATTAAAAATCCATTATTAACACATTTAATTGGAAATAAAACGAGATCGACTATAAATGAAAAGAACATACACACACACATGGACATTGGCCACTACCATTACGCTTAATTCTCCAATATCAGCTCTTTTGATTTTTGGATACATATAAACCAAATATTTGATATTATTATTATTATTATTATTATTATTATTATTATTATTATTATTATTATTATTATTATTATTATTATTATTATTATTATTATTATTATTATTATTACTATTATTATTGCACAAAACTGAATATAAGACCCATGAATCAAACGGGGTAGGTTTATGCTAATGCAGGTTAAGACTATCTTTTAATTAAATATTATATTCTATATGAAAAAAAAATTCTTAGCATCTTTTTTTTCTGGTCTTATTTTCTATGCGTTTCTGTAATGCATTATATTATATTTCAACCTAAAAGAATTTTATATACAGACGGAAATAGAGGGAATTTATTTTAAAAAAAATGCTAGAGTTTCTCAGTCTTGGGAAGGTTCAATAGTGTAAGCCAAGGGGGCATAGTGCCGTATGATTATTGGCTTCCCATTTCACACATTATTAGCTTTTCTTAAACAACAATATCAAATCAAATTATTCATTGATTATTATTGATAAAATAATTGCAGAAGAAGAATATAAACTTATATATATAAAATAATATGATTCATCAAAGCAAACATCACTGTCGTGAATTCTCAAAGTCAATGTTTGATAAATTCATCTACTTTTAACTTTCGGCAAAGGCAGGCTATCTTACGATTGTCACACCAGTTATCTGATAAAATTTTATTTCTGAGCTTAATGATTATTTTCTGAAATAAAACTTCAAATAATTTCATTTATTAATTTACCCATGGAGTTAATGACAACATCATGGAAATGGGTCCAGGGGATTACAACATGAGATCACGATAGATCTCGAATGTCTTGAAGAGTTTCAGATCAAACTGAAAGGAACATAACACTAAACAGCCAGAGACATCATCATCTCCCATCCTCAGGCAATGAGACTTTCAGATTATTCTCTGCAACTTCTGCTTCATTCTCTCCACAGCAGACCTTAACGTCTCTTCGTCCTTACAGAATGTGAACCTCACCAAGTTCTTCCCTTCTTCCGGGTTCAAGTAAAAGACGCTCGTGGGAATAGCCACGACCCCGATTTCCTTTATGAGGTACTCGCAGAATTCAACATCGTTATCCAACCCGAATGGTGAATGATCAACAACTACAAAGTAGGTCCCGCTTGACGGGTAAACATTAAACCCAACCTCTCTTAAACCCGTCACCAGAATCTCCTTTTTCGCCAAGTAGTCTCTTTTCAGCTCTTCGTAGTAAGAATCCGGAGCTTTGAGAGCTGTCATTGCTGCCCATTGCATTGGTGTCGAGGTTGCAAAAGTCAGGTAAGAGTGTGCTAACCGAACTCCTCGTGTCAACTCAGGTGATGCGATTGCCCACCCAATCTTCCAACCCGTTAAAGAAAACGTCTTCCCCAAGGAATTCATGGTCACAGTTCTTTCATACATACCAGGAAGCGAAGCAATGGAGATGTGATCCATTTCAAATGCCAGCTTATCGTACACTTCATCTGAGAATACCAACACATCATTCTCAATGCAGAGAGACGCAATAGTTTCTAGTTCCTCCCTTGTGAACATCTTACCAGTCGGGTTGTGTGGAGTGTTGAGGAGGATAGCACGGGTATTTTTAGATATTGCGGATTTGAGCTCGTCCATAGGGACAGCGAAATCGGGTGGACGTAAAGTGATTCCCTTGATTTTGGCGCCGGCCATGGAGAGAGTCGCTTCATAAGAATCATAAAAGGGTGCAAAGAGAATCACTTCATCACCAGGATTGATCAATCCCAATACAGTAGCAGCTATGGCTTCAGTGCAACCAGATGTGACGGTTACTTCTTTCTCGGGATCAACCACAAGCCCACTATCTTTCTGGAACCGAGCAGCAATGGCAGCATTGAATTCGAGAACCCCATGTCCCCGGGCATACTGATTTTTACCATCCGTGATGGCTTGGATAGCAGCTTCTTTGACGAAATCAGGACCATCGAAATTGGGGAAGCCTTGACCAAGGTTTATTGCTCCATGTTTGATGGCTAGCATGCTCATTTGGGTAAAGATCGTGGTCTTGAACTTCTCCAACCGCTTTGCAACCTAAACATAAGTTCCGGTGGGTGTCAGAAAATAGGAAACTATACTAGGAAATAGACAAGAGTGTGGATAATAGCCAAATGGAAAGAAGAAAGGCAAGAAGAACAGATAAACTCTTATCATTTAATGCTTTCGTAGGAGGTGATATTGCACGCTTACTAGGTTTCACATGACTATACATATCTGTCCTTAAGCCAACTGATCTCTCCAACACATCAAACTGTGATACCAAGACATAAGAGATTATATAGGAAACGCAAAACGGTCAGCTGTGAAGTAAGGATCGGTGAAACCAACAACAGGCTTTGTTTGGTGGATACAATTAGCTACATTCATGGCACAATCCGATCAAACAATCAAACCAACGGCACAATCCGATCGTCACGCGACAGATATGAATAAGAATCGAAAACCCAGAACACGAGTAGAAAGAAGATCGGTCACCTGCGAGGGTTTCTGGGTCTGCTGAGTTGACTCATTCTGAGTCGAAACGGTCGACATGGTCGCTCCGAGAGAAGAGTAGATCGGAGCTGGTGGTTTCCGTATTCGGACAGAACCGGAGCTCCGCAGGAAGAAATGATTCGAGAGGCCCAAAAAAGACAGGGACGAGGATCTGAAGCTAAGTTGTGTAAGCATTCCAGAATGTGTCCAGGTACATTGAGAATGCATGACCATGAATCTAGTACCTTTAGGGTTTATGATTCGCCCCCAATTTGGGAATTTCTATGTCCAATGAATTTGGAGGTTGAGTGGGCTTTTATGGGCTCAGATACTTAAGTTACCACTTAGTTATTAGGCTTTTATCGGCGGGCTTCAAGAAGAAAGATCCAATTTTGTGGCCCAGTCGATTTTGGATTAAAAGTTGACCCGACTCGCTCAAATCGACCCGACTCGGTCATCCTACACGGGCCCGTCGACTCAACAGGGCGTCACCGGATTGTCCGAAAGCTCTCGGCTTTTTTTCTCCCCTCCCTTCTTTCGTCAGCCGAATCGAGAAGGGTAATCGAAAAATTCTCTCTTTCTCGTCGAATGTTTCCGATGTTGATTCGATTTGCAATGTTGGGTTGATTGAGAATTGCGTAACCTAGGGAATTTGTTTCTCGTGTCGTGTGTGATCTCTATGTCTTTCACTGTTCGTGTTATGTTAGGCGTTTTTGTTTGTAAAGTGTTAGTTGAAAACACAGCCGCATAATATGTTCTTGTAGTTTCCGATGTTGATGGATTAACCTGTTTTCACTTGATTTTATTTTTCTTTTTCCCTACTATCAGAATTGTGTTTCCACTTTCTCGGACCTGAAACTGCACAGAAATTTAGAATGAACAAATCTCCCTGAATTTTCCGGGTTCAATCCAATTCCTACCATGGGTTGTTTACTTGATGAACTTTGTTTTATTATAGATATAATTTCACTCCGTTCTGTGTGCTTCCTATGTTGTGCTCTAGTTTCCCCTTTCTTTCTTTCACAAAGCTGGTTTCTTGCTTGTATCTACTGGGAACTGTTTCTTACTATACTGTGAAACAGAGTTCCCTCTGCGAGCATTGAGTGTTCTGTATAGTATCGTATTTCTTGGACGACTCAGGCATTTAGGACGGTGATCTTATTTGTATCCACGGTATATATATGAGTTTGGTTACTAGATTTGTCATTCCTGCCATCGGTAGTTTGCATAGTCTGATGAATTGCCCCTTTTTTTCATAGACATCCCAGAGTTTGAGAGGGGAATCGGTGAACATACTGTAACTTCCTAGGGATTTATCTGTGATTTCTACCCCGCTGTTCCTGATATAGTGATGTGTTAAACTCGTTAACACAGCAGTTTCGGTTTTTACTTGAACTCGCTTTGATTTTTCAGGTTAGCCAGGACAGCTGCATAGGAGTTCTTCATTTGATTTATAGACTGTATAAAATTTATCCTGAAAAGGGTTTAACTTCATATTTCTGTTTTTCAGAGACTAAGGAAAAGAAAATGGGAAGCCAGGAGAATGTGAAGCACCTTGAGGAATGCTCAGTTTCCAAGTTAGTTGCTTCTTTGATTTTACCCTTGAAAATTTGTCTTCTTAATTTTCATCATCTGCATTGTTAGGCAAGTGGTTGTACCCTGCCATTGTGTTTGTCATCATAATCTTTAAATACCGTCCCGGTTTGGTACTGAAAAGGAATAAACTAGGTGTAGATAGCTTTCACCATGGCCATAAACCTGGACATAGTTGTGAATTGTTTTATATGAGATGTGTGATTTTGAAGCAATCAGTGTATTTAAGAGTTTTCAGTTAAGGGACTGCCTGCGATACTTCAGATTTGAACATGAATGTGAAGCTTTTTTCAGCAATGTGCTCTATAGCTGATTTCTCGGGTTGTCATCTGTAATTTGCATTAGGATGAATTCTTCATTCTTGCCCCAAGTCAAAACTCTCAAATACACTGTCACTGATCGCTTCAAGTATGAAACCATCATTCATGGTGAAAGCTGCAACTGCATATTTAAATTCCTCGTCTTTTTTTTTTTTTCTGTGGTGACAGTGCACTAGGGACATGGGTTTTCTCGGTTCTTGGGGCATTGGCCGCAATTCCAGTGGGAATCAAACGCAAGTCTTTAGCACCACTCGTGTTCTTTGGCACGACCGGGACAATGCTCGACATCATAATTGGTGTCAGTCAGTGCGAGAGAGAGCACGCTGAACGTCAGATGAAGTTACTAGAAGCTCAGAACGCTTCAGCCGACCCCGACTCCACGACCTTTTCCGAGTCAGATTAAAACATCTTCCATTTTCAATGTCTTGCCCCCTTTTTTCAGTTCAATGGAGAACTTGTAATAAGAGATCCATTCTGTATTTTGCATCAGTGAACGTGTAAGGCCATTTCACGCTGAATGCGTCTCAAGAACAAGTTGAGAACGAAGGTTTTTCATGACTTTCCTGTATTTGCGTAGTTTCTCTTTTGGCTTTCTTGATTAACGTAATATACACATGCATGCATGCATGCATGCATGAATTCCCATGTTGATATATAGATACGCAGAGCAAATGTACGTATAAAATTACAGATACATACATGCGTATGTATATGGAAAGGCATTCTATATGTATTGTGGTTACGTACATTTCCTGAAAATGCAGGATTTGCGGTTCTTTGGTGGGATAAAGTAAACTAATTTATACAACTGAGGGTTGCCGCAGATGTCGGTGCATGCGCTTCTACACTTCTCAAGAGTTGCGTTCTCCGCTGTCGCCATGCATTCTTTTGTAACGCATCGCTTAACGCAACCCTCCTTCTCATCTTCCGAGCGACTAACCTCCACCATTAACGTTATCGATAATAACGTTATGATCGCTAACGTTCTACATATTCTTCCCGACATTAGTATTTCTCTCTCTCTTTTTTTTTTTATTTTCTAATCGATTTTCCTTGAGTTTTTTTTTTTTGGAAGAGAGTTGAATTGATATATAAACGTTATTGTTATATCTATTTTGAGGGTTTTGGAGATAATAAATATATGGGTAATTTGGTTTCACTTAAACAAACCACTAATAATAGGGTTTTTTATTTTGGGTCCTCGTCATTAAATTTAGTAAAGGGTTGTCAACAATATTTGACTGCTGACTTAACAGTTGCAAAATTTAATTTTTACCCCAAAATTATGCAACCCCGGATAAATTATGACCCTTGTTCAATGATCATAACCTTTGGATGATATTTGTTTATGTTACGAAACAAGTGCTAATGGAACAAAGGGAAAGGCCTCTTAGTTGCCAGTTTCCAACTCATTCGATTGCAATGATC